TCTCAGGTCCCACCAGGGTCTAATTGCAGCCGCACCCAAACATCAGCCCCTTTCCTCACTCACCAGGTGCTCCCAGCCAGCTGTTCTCACAGGTCAGACACTGCAGGGCCCCCCCAACCATGGAGACCACCACTGGGAAGCGGGCGGCCTGGACTCCCTCCCCCAAGAGCCGCCCACACTCTCCTCGCACGTGTGGTCAGTCACTCACGAGACCCTGAGGTTTGAGTCTTCTTGTGCAAAGAGCAAATCTGGCATCATCCTACCAGACAGTGATGGATTTTCCTTATTTTGGTCACACTGCTCTTGCAGGGCCCCCTCAACTCCCTGAACCTCACATTCATAATCAGTAGAGCACAGTCATCACCCTCCGGCACCTCAGGAAGCTCGTTACCCTGATTTCTGCCTTAATCTAGAGAAGGACGCAGGTTTAATCTTCAGATGGTTGACGGACTAGGGGAGCCCAGTGGGTAGTGGAGGCCCAGGGAAGGGCTCCGGTGTGGCCCCTAATGGCGCCTCCTGTCCCTTGTCTTCCAGGCAAAGAGCAGTCGATGCCACTCCTCATCGCTCTCCTCCTGGGCTCTAAGGTGCTGCTGCTGGTGGGTGTCTCTGCCTCCTACATGCACAGGAAGCAGAGGCCCTGACTGTGAGTCCTGGGGAGGGAGGGCAGGCCAAGGTCTGTCCCGGGAGGGGCAAGGTCAGGTGGAGGGCAGCCCCCAGGACACTCGTGGTCAGGGCCCCCAGGAAATAAGAGAAGCTAACACACCTCCCTCAACACCCTCAGGAGGCTTAGGTCCCCAAACATTCCCAGCATCCAGAAAGTGTTTGGGGAACTGCAGAGGGTGTTCTAGAGTGACTGGGGAGCCCTGGGTGGTGTGGAAGATACAGCAAGGGCCTGAATGGAGAGCCTGGGTGGGGGGCTCCATTGGAAACCATCTCTACATTATTTGAATATGGGGGCCTCATTGGTAGAAAGGAATCCACAGTGAGGGGAGTGTGGAGCAGTCCCAGGTTTGCTGCTCTGAGGTGTTTCTGGGGCTCTGTGTGATGCGGGGAAGGGCTGGGCTTGAGCGCAAGGGCGAGAGCAAAGACTGAGGTGCAGAGGCCTATCTCGGGGACTGCCCAAGAGAGCAGCTGCAGAGCCATGTAGATACACAGGGAGTGGGTCCTGAGCACGAGCAGGTCATTAAATGTGACATGTCTCCCGCAGCTTTTTCCCTCCTCCCTGCTGCCTGCACCTCCAGCTCTGCAGCCTCCTCCCTTCCTAGACTCAACAAGAAATAGGGAGAGGACTCAAGTAACTACCATATAAATGGAAGAGGAGAAATTACAACAGGAACCACAGAAACACAGAGGCACATGGAGACTGTGCCTACACATATCCGCTTCACATGCCACAGACTGGACAACCAAGATGAAAGAGATATATTCCTGCAAGCACAAAGCCTATCTTGACTGAACTATCGAGAAGTTTTCATACGTATGTCCTGAGATCACAGGTTGAATACGCATTATTCTATTCTGAAATATGCAAGGATTTCTCTATAATTATTCATGGAGTTTCTGGTCTATCTTTGCAAAATACTAATATCATGTTCTTTTGTTTTTTATTTTAAGATGTATTTATTTATGCATGCAAGAGCTGGCCAGAGATACAGGGGGGTGAGAGGAATCACCAGAGAGAGAGTGGGGAACAGAACAGGCTGAAACACACTGTTGATGGGAGCAGCAGGTGACACAGGAGAGGTCTGCTGCGCCATGTGGGGAGCTCCCTGGCCGGCTGGGAATCGAACTCGTGCTGCAGAGGCTGCAGATTGCTTCATATTGTGGTGCTTAACCCCTTGAGCCAAAGGGAGGCTCCGCAATATCGTGTTCTTTGGATCCTTTGAAGAAACGCTACCCTGAATTTGGTGTTTCCTATCCTCAGATATGAATGTGCTTTTATAACATAGATACACATACTTAAGCAATATTTAATATTACTTTGCATATTCTAAATGTTTTATAAATGCAATTAACCAGTTTACAGCACTCGGGAAGTTCTCCTATAGTTTATTGCTTAACACAGCTTGTGGGATTTATTCATCTTGATACATGCAGCTCCATTGATTGATTTTTCGACTATTCTGTAGGCTTCAATAGAAGACTATGCCACACTTTATTAATTCTTCTCATTCTGGATATTGAAACTTTACCTGGTGCTTTGAAGTACAACTTGCCACTAAGACTCTTATCTTAGTGTCCTCCCCCACACGGGACAGCACCCCTCGCCCCTCTAGCGTGGCCTGCAAAGCTGCATGTTGTGTCAGTTGGGGGCCTTGTTGTGCAAAACGGTTTTCATTTTCTGATCAATGTTGCTTTTTTAATTCATGCTTTTAATCTAGCTACACTAATTCACTCTGTGTGTGTGTGTGCAAGTGGTTGTCATGTTATAATTTATTATCAAGACTCACTGATCGGGGCCTCCCCTCGTGGCCCAGCGGTTGAACACTGGGCTGCAAAGCTGCCTGCAGCCTCTACAGCGCCGCTTTGATCCCTGGCCACCAGCGAGGGTCCCATATGGCGCGCAGACCTCTCCTGACGCCCGCTGCTCCCCTCAGCAGTGTATTTTGTCACTCTGTCTCTTCTGTTCCCGACTCTGGCTCTGGTGAATTCTCTCACACTCCCGTGCTTCTGACTGTACTCAGTGTCTTCATAATAAATAAATCTTTAAAAAAAAAAAAAAAGACTCACTGATGGTCACAGCCACCTTCACTTTATATCAAGTTTCCATATACTTGTGTGGTTCTTCCTATGAGATCTTTTTCCACTGAGCTGCTCATCTCTTAGTCAAAGCTACACGGACAAGATACGTCCATGTAATAAGTTTTGAAACCATTTTGAGCAAAGTTTCCCACCTTTTCTTATTTAAAACTGTCATGACTCTTTGGGTCCAAGTGATCTTAGGATCACGTTGTCAATTTTCATGAAAAACCCTTTTAGAATTATTATTTGATCACATTGAATTTACATATTATTTTAGTCAACTGACATCTTTCCAGGATTGAGTTTTCCCATTCATGATATGCATCTATTTTAGTTTTGCTTTGATGACTTTTAATTCATGATTTTAGAGATTTCCCGTGATGGTTTGATGAGTCTCTAGTTAGAGCTAGCTTTAACAATTTCCAGTCTGTGGACATGAAAAAAAGTATTATTACTGTTTTCAATGATTCTTGACTATGGTATAGGATTATAATTTTGTTCGAGCGTTGATCTTATATTCAGCAAGAACACAGGACACCTACTAGTACTGTTAGTATGTTTTCTTTGGGGGTAACCATTATAACATTAACCTAATGATCGAAAATCAATATTTACCTACATCAGAGGTACATATGCACATGGCTTGAAAGTCAAGTAGTTCCACAAGTTCTAATAGGAAAGCTGGGGTCACCTAACCTCACACTATTTCCTCCTCCCAGAAGTAACTCTTTTCAGTGCTTTAACTGAGTGTTTTAGATTTTACTGCCAAATCCCGGAGAGAATTTACTTGTATTGCAATGCTTTGATTACTCTCTCTTAGAAATTATTTATTGTCTCCCCACTAGGGCTGATGGATATACACTGTTCAGTTACCCCAACCTCATGCCTCTCACATGCACACTTTTTATCCTCATCACCCTGATATCACCCTGTTATATTTTCTATGACCCTTTTCAGTATATTGCCAGAAGGAGTCATACTAGACCTAGTAAAGAAAAAAAATAGCCCCCCCTAAATGATTACATTATACACAGTGTGAGGTTTTTGAACTTGTGTCAAGGGGTAACAGGGTGGTCCCCACGAAAGGGGAGGTTCCAGTTTTCTTGCCCCACACAAAGGAGGGTGGGGCAAAAGAGAAGAAGAAGCTGCAGAAGGGATGGAAGAAGGAATAAAACAGGATGGAGAGACAGGAGACCTGGACGAGGCACATGGAGAGAGAAACACGGGAAAAATTCTGCATGCCTTTTGGTGTGGGCTGGCTGAAACAGAGGTGGGTATGAGACCTCTGGGAGGATAACAATGGCAACTTTTATATTGGTTCTGATTTTGCTCTTTTCCTCCCAGAATTGCCTGGTTGTTTCTGATCCTTTTCTGTGGGTCCCCAATGGAAGGTGCTTTATCTTGTGGCAGGCATTCAGGCCTTGCTTTGGGCCAATCCCATTTGGGTGGATTTTTACTCATGAAGGGATGAGTAACTTTGGGTGCATGATTTAGAAACCATATTCTTTGCTTTTCCTGTATTGTTTACTAATTGTATCAAAGTTCTTTCCCATTAAAGTCTCCCATGTTTTGTGTTGATATGGCAGATGGCAGAACCTATTTAGAGCAGGCAGGATAAGGGGCTCTGGCGTGTGCCTCTCCCTGCTGGGTAACAAAGGGACGGAAGGGAAATTCTACTCACTGCAAGGAAATCCTCACCTGAGCTTCAGTGAGCCACAGGCACTTGGAACCCATGAACCTTAGCTGGTCTGCCTTTGCCAGTCCAGTCTCTCCCAGGACAGCTCGCACTGGTCACCTGTAGTGATAACGGCTCCATGTTCTGGATGCTCAGTTACAGACCACTACAGGCAAATGATTTCTTAAACACCTTTCCTAGTTTCTCACTATTGTAGTCCTCAGCGGGCCCTTGGACTGAGAGTAGCTCTTGGTAGAGGCGGCACAGACTGGCTACCAGCCAGTCACCCTAGAGCCCTGGGCATGGGCATGTGGGACACACCCTTTACCCCTATGGGATTCTCTTTTGCCTAGAGCGACTGAATGTAGAACCTCCGTGACCCCAAGTGGGGTAGCAAGCAAGTGGAGAGAGCACAGGCCCCGAAGTGAGGCACAATTTCCATGAAAACATACGAGAAACTCCTGACCTTGAAGCTGCCCTCTTATCTCAACATGTCAGTGGAAGTGTGTCAACACCACGTCATTTCACCAATGAGGTGAGCTTCCTCTTGTATCGCAGGCGGGGCTCTGCTTCACAGAGCAGAGTCTGGGCTCCCAGCACACACCCAGACAGAACAGGCTCCTCCAGTGCCAGGATGCCTGACCCTGCCTCCTGGACCCACCAGTCTCCTTGCCTGCTGCTGGCTTTACTGCTGGGACTCACAGGTGAGCATGGCCATGGGAAGATCCCCCCTCCCTGCCCTGGATGCCTCTTTAGCCAGGGATTTTTAGGGCATTCAGGTAAATAAGGGTAAGCCCCCATGAGGCTACAACAGAGAGCCAAGACTAGACATTACTTGAGAGCACAGAATCAGGGAACTGAGCAACTTTTCTGTAATCTGTCACCTGCAACTGTTATCAGGGACATCAAAACAGATGATAGTTTGATGAATGTGTTAACTTGGCTGATCTTCACAACATGACTATTTATAATGACGCTGGTTGCCCATGCTTTGCAGAAGGGGAAACCGAGGCAGAGAGCATAACTTGCCCAGTGCCATCTACCCAAGTTTGTGGAGAAGCCAGAATTGAAGCCTAGGGCCAAGAACTCCAGCATTCATTCTCTTTACCATGTTATGCTGTTGGCTACTCAGTGGAGGCTCTTGCAGAAAAGTTAGACATATGGAGAAACAATTAGATGCTAGAGACAGGACAGAGACCTAGGACAGACAATAGGAGGTAGGACGGGGTTGAAATTCTGCTGTGTGCTCCCAAACTTTTGTTAATGATATGTTAGATGGTTACTATGTACCAATATTTTTATGAGCATTTAACATACACAAGCCTCAAAACATACTCCTTGTATACTAGCAAGCCAGGACAGCACTTCACATGTATTTGCAAATGCATGTTGTGGTGTATGTGCATATATGTACAGGTGTGAGAAGTGTGCAGACACACACACTCGTGGGATTTTGAAAAGGTTTCTTCCATTGTTCTCTCCAATCAATTCACAGTGCATGAAGTGCACATTGACGAATGTTTAGTTTTCAGAGTCCCTCCACTCTCTTCCTTCCTGTTCTACTTTTCTAAAATTTCCCCTTCCCTTTCTTAAACTATTGGACAAAAAAATTCTTCTCCCTTGGTAAGAGAGTAAAGTGTGTGCATGATTTTCTTGGAGTCCTGCCCTCGTGCTGCAAGGGGGTGAGGAGGAAAGAAGGGGATGGAAACACAGAGCCTCACCTAGACCGTCTCCATCTGTCCTTGCGCCCACATCTGGGTTTGCACCTCTCCCCATGCGCTGTCATCCAGCGTCCGTTCAGGCCTCAGGAAATCTGGGAGTGGAATTCTGTGCATTCCTCCTTGGAGGCCCTCCTCCAGGCTGGATGGGCTGAGGAGACAAGAAGGGGGAGGTGCAGGTTCCCGAAGGATACAGAGCAATGATCCCCGTGTGTGATTCTAGCTGCACTCCTATCTCTGTCATCTATGTCCCCAGAAGCCTCTCAGCCTCAGGAAATCCGATGAGTAAAATCATTTCAATTTCTTGAACCCTCACCATGTACCAGACATAGCGGGAAAGGCCTGGAGGTGTCATCTCCTATGACCATTATCTCTGAGGGAGCTAACTCATCCCCCTCCTTACAGGTGGAATAACAGAAGCACAGAGAGGTTCAAGGTCACTCACCCTAACTGGTAGAGCTGGATTTAACTCACACGGTCTGACTGTAGAGTTCCCGGGTTAACCACCACCCTTCTCGGATGCGCGTGACCTGTCTCGACCTCAGGAGCTTTCTGCAGCTTCTGTTCACGGGTGGGGGAAGTGAGAGTGAGGGAAAGACGGTTTGTGACTTTCTCTCCTGGGTTCTTCCTCTTCCTGGAAGTTGTTTTTATTTTTTTTTTTATTTATTTTTTTTTAATTTTATTTTAATCATAAATTTTATTTTTATATTCCCCATACAATTGCAGCCCCCCCATTCTGACCCCAATCTCTCCCCTCCCACCCCCGCCCCCTTAAAAGTGTCTCTGGTTCGTAGTTTTTTGTTGATTTTGATTTTCACTTTCTTATAGTTATTCGTTTTCCTGGTCCCTTATTTAAGTTTTCTAGATTCCTGCTATGAGTGAGACCATCCGGTATTTTTCTTTTTCTTTTTGGCTTATTTCGCTGAGCATGATCCCTTCCAGTGCCATCCATGTTGTTGCAAATTGCATGTGTTTATCTTTTTTGAATGCTGAGTAATATTCCATGGTGTATATGTACCACATCTTCTTGATCCAGTCATCTATTTTTGGGCATTTGGGTTGTTTCCAAAGCTTAGCTATTGTAAACAGTGCTGCTATAAACATAGGGGTGCAGGTGTTCTTTGGAATTGATGTTTCTGTGTCCTTTGGGTAAATACCTAGGAGTGGAATTGCTGGATTATATGGAAGCTCTATGTTTAGTAGGTCCAGAAATCTCCACACAGCTCTCCACAGTGGTTGGACCAGTTTGCACTCCCACCAACAGTGCAGAAGAGTTCCTTTTTCTCCACACCCTCGCCAACATTTGTTGTTGCTAGTTATTTTAATATGTGCCATTCTCACTGGTGTAAGATGGTATCTCATGGTAGTTTTGATTTGCATTTCCCTGATTACAAGTGATGTTGAACATTTTTTCATATGCCTGTTGGCCATTTGCATTTCCTCTTCAGAGAAGTTTCTTTTTAGCTCTTCTGCCCATTTTTGACTGGATTATTTTCTTTGTTGTTGTTGAGTCTCATCAGCTCTTTGCAGATTTTTGTGATCAGTCCTTTATCATTAGTGTTGGGTGCAAAAATGTTCTCCCAGTTGGTGGGGTTTCTCTTTGTTTTTGTTATTGTCTCTTTTGCTGTGCAGAAGCTCTTTAATTTGATGTAGTCCCAGCTGTTGATCTTTGCCTTCACTATCACTGCTTTGGGTGATGTGTCTGTAAAGATGTCTTTGATGTGCAAATCACGTAGTGTTTCGCCTATATTTCCTTCTATATATTTTATGGTTTCAGGTCTTATGTCTAGTTCTTTAATCCATTTTGAGTTGATTTTTGTGTATGGTGTGAGGTAGTGGTCAAGCTTCATTCTTTTGCATGTAGCGACCCAGTTTTCCCAGCACCATTTATTGAACAAACTTTCTTTGCTCCAATGCATAGTCTTTGTCCTTTGTCAAAGATTAGTTGACCATAAATCTGTGGGTTTATTTCTGGATTTTCTATTCGATTCCATTGGTCTGTATGTCTGTTCTTGTTCCAATACCATGCAGTTTTGATGATTATGGCTTTGTAGTAGAGTTTGAAGTCTGGGAGTGTGATGCCTCCATTCCCTTCTTTTTTTTTCAGGAGAGCTTTGGCTATTCGGGGTTTTTTGTGATTCCATATGAATTTCATCAATAATTGTTCTATTTCTTTGAAGAATGACATTGAAATTTTGATTGGAATAGCATTGAATCTGTATATTGCTTTTGGGAGGATGGCCATTTTAATAATGTTTATTCTTCCAATCCATGAGCAGGGGATGTCTTTCCATTTCTTTGTGTCTTCTTCTATTTCTTTTAACAGTGTTTTATAGTTTTCTTTGTATAGTTCCTTTACCTCTTTTGTTAGATTTATTCCCAAATATTTGATTTTTTTTGTTTCAATAAAAAAAGGGATGGTTTTTTTGATTTCTTCTTCTTCAGATTTATTGTTTGTGTATAGGAAGGCTACTGACTTTTGCATGTTGATTTTGTATCCTGCCACTTTACTGAACTGATTGATGAGTTGAATTAGTTTTTCTGTGGACTTTTTGGGGTTCTCTATGTATATTATCATATCATCTGCAAATAGTGATAGTTTGACTTCTTCTTTTCCTATTTGGATTCCTTGGATGTCTTTCTCTTGTCTTATTGCCCTGGCTAGGACTTCCAGTATTATATTGAAAAGCAGTGGTGAGAGTGGACATCCTTGTCTTGTTCCAGATCTTAATGGAATTGCTTTCAGCTTTTCACCATTGAGAATGATACTGGCTGTTGGCTTGTCATAGATGGCCTTTATGATGTTGAGGTATGTTCCTTGTATCCCAAGAATTTCAAGGGCTTTTATCATGAATGGGTGTTGCACTTTGTCGAAAGCTTTCTCAGCATCTATTGATATTATCATATGGTTTTTATATTTCTTTTTGTTGATGTGTTGGATAACGTTGATTGATTTTCGGATGTTAAACCATCCTTGTGTCCCTGGAATGAATCCTACTTGGTCGTGGTGAATTATCTTTTGGATACATTGTTGGATTCTGATAGCTAAAATTTTATTGAGGATTTTTGCATCAGTGTTCATTAGGGAGATTGGCCTGTAGTTTTCCTTTTTGTGTTGTCCTTGTTCGGTTTTGGTATTAGTGTAATGTTGGCTTCATAGAAAGTGTTTGGTATTGTCCCTTCCTTCTCAATTTTTTGGAAGAGTTTGTGAAGGATAGGCACTAATTCGTCTCTGAATGTTTGGTAGAATTCATTTGTAAATCCATCAGGTCCTGGGCTTTTGTTTTTGGGGAGGTTTTTGATTACCATTTCAATTTCGCTGCTTGTAATTGGTCTGTTTAGGTGTTCTATTTCTTCTTTATCTAGCTTTGGGTGATTGTAGAGTTGTAGGAATTTGTCCATCTCCTCTAGATTGTTAAACTTGTTTCCATATAACTGTTCATAGTAGTTACTGATTATTCTTTTGATTTCTGCTGTGTCCGTTGTGATTTCTCCTCTTTCATTGATGATCCTGTTTATTTGTGCTTTCTCCCTTTTTTCCTTTGTGAGCCTGGCTAGGGGTTTGTCTATTTTATTGATTTTTTCAAAGAACCAGCTCTTGGTTTCATTGATCTTTTGGATTGTTTTTTTAGTTTCAATTTCATTTATTTCTGCTTTTGTTTTTATTATTTCTTTTCTTCTACTGGTTTTGGGGTTTTTTTGTTGTTCTTTTTCTAGATCTTTGAGCTTCGAGATTAGGTTGTTTCTTTGAGTTCTTTCTTGTTTCTTGATGTGAGCTTCTATTGCTATGTATTTTCCTCTTATTACTGCTTTTGCTGCATCCCATACATTTAGGATATTGGTGTCCTCCTTGTCGTTCAATTCAAGGATTTTTTTAATTTCTTCTTTGATCTCCTCATTAGTCCAGTGGTCTTCCAGTAGTGTGGTTTTTAATCTCCATGAGGTAGGAAAGTTCCTTGCCTTCTTTTTATGGTTTATTTCTAATTTGATACCTTCATGGTCAGAAAAGATGGTTGATATGATTTCAATCTTGGTGTATCTGTTGATGTTTGTCTTGTGCCCCAGTATGTGATCGATCCTGGAGAATGATCCGTGTGCGCTTGAGAAAAATGTGTACTCCGTTTTTTGGGGGTTTAGTGTTCTATAGATGTCTGTTAAGCCCAATTGCTCTAGGTCCTTATTTAGAGCTTTGGTTTCTTTACTTATTTTTTGTCTTGTTGATCTATCCATTGTTGATAGTGGTGTGTTGAAGTCTCCCACTACGTATGTGTTTTCTCTGATGTCTGTTTTCAGAGAGGACAACAGTTGTCTGATATATTTTGGTGCTCCTTCGTTTGGTGAGTATATGTTAATGAGTGTTATTTCTTCTTGAAGTATTGTCCCCTTGATCATAATGTAGTGACCATTGGGGTCTCTTTTTATCTTTTTGAGTTTGAAATCTGTTTTATCTGATATAAGTATAGCTGTTCCTGCTTTCTTTTTTGGTCCATTTGCTTGTAAGATTGTTTTCCATCCTTTAACTTTGAGCCTATTTTTATCTTTTGTAGCTAAATGTGTTTCCTGGAGACAGCAAAAGGTTGGGTTTTGTTTCTTAATCCAGGCTGCAACTCTGTGTCTTTTTATTGAAGAGTTTAGTCCATTTACATTTAGAGTTAATATTGATATGTTAGCATCTGTATTTGCCATTGTGTTTGTCTTTCCTTTGATTTTATTTATTTATTCTTTTAATAACTTTTTTTTTTTTTGGCCTTCTTTCATTGTTATTCGTCCCTCTGAGGTTCTGACTTTAGGACTCCTTGTAGTATTTTTTGGAGTGAGGGTTTAGTTGTAATGAAATTCCGGAGTTTCTGTTTGTCTGGGAAGGTCCATATTCTTTCTTCAAAGAGGAAGGAGAGCTTTGCGGGATAGAGAATTCTTGGTTGGCATCTGTTTTCTTGGAGTCTGTTGACTATGTCCCTCCACTCTCTCCTTGCCCGTAGTGTTTCTTTGGAGAAGTCTGATGTCAGCCTGATTGGCTTTCCTTTGAATGTTATCTGTTTCTTCCCTCTTGCCAGCTTCATTATTTTTTCCTTGTCCTGGATTCTTGGGAGCTTTACTATTATGTGTCTTGCTGTATTTTTCCTTTCGTCGTGGAAGTTTGGTGTTCTTCTTGCTTCTTGTATATCAATTTTCAGCTCCTTCTTCACATTTGGGAAGTTCTCTTCAATTATCTCTTTGAATATTTTCTCTGTTCCTACATCTCTCTCCTCTCCTTCTGGTATTCCTATAACTCTTATATTTCCTTTCCTCATGGAGTCAGATAGTTCCCGAAGTCTTTCTTCGTTCTTTTTCCTTCGTACTTCTCTTTCCTTTTCTGTTTTGGTTCTTTTTATTTCTGTGTCTTCAAGATTACTTATTCGTTCTTCCATTTCATCTATTCTGCTTTCATTGCTTTTCCCAGAATTCTGGAAGTTGTTTTTATCTTTGGCCAAATATCTCCATGGGAATCTCTTGGTACTATGGCTCAAAATAGACCTCGGGTCTCAGGAAGGTGTAGTGACGGACAGTCACATGATCAACCATTTATTGCGCACCTACTATGTGTCAGAAGCTGTTATAGGAATGAGAGGAGTGTTGCTGAAGAGACAAAGTAGTTGCCCTCTTGGAGTTATGTCTTAGTGTGAGAAATGACAGCAGACAATAGACACACTAAATAAGTACAAAATACAGTGTATTAGGGTAGGATCAGGGTTATGGGCAACAAATGAAAGTATTCCTAGATAAGAGAACTGCAAATACCTGCAGCAGGCTATATTTTAAACAAGGCAGTGTGGGTGGGCATCTCTGAGACAGAAACTTGAGCATAGGTTAAAGGGAGGTATGGGATGAGCCGGTGGAGTTTGGGGGGAATTGCCTTCCTGACAGGGAGCAGCACGGGCAGTGGCTGGTGAGGAGACTTTTCTGTTCTGTTCAAGGATGTGGGCTCCCGTGAGTGGTGCCACTGCAAAATCTAAAGAAAGAAGTGATGATCTGACATTAGCTTTAATCATGCTAGCACTTGGACAGAGAGGCAACTAGAACATTTAAGGGGTCATTTCATGGAGAAACGAGGAACACCGGTGCACGAGAATGGCTGCTGTAGAGACGGGAGAGGTCAGACCTTAGACACATGATGAAGCAGCAACAGATTCTCTGACCCGCAGCCTTTGGATGGGAGAGAAAGAGCCAAAGGTGTGGACCTGAGCCTCTGGAAGAATAAGGGGCCTCATGGGACATAGAGAGACCTGTCAACTGTGAGCTGTGCTTTTCCATCCAAGCATCATGTCCAGGTGGCTTTGGCCATACAAGTCCAATTTCAGGGGAAAGGTGTGGGCAGAGATGTAAATGCAGGAGCCACAGAGACTAATGACACTTCCCCATCTGTGGCTCCGGCTACTATCTGACCTTCTTTTCCTCTACATCTATTTCTCCATTTCTCCCTCCAGATTCATTCCTATTTCTTCTCATTTTTGTCTACCCCACACCCCCAAAATCCTCCTTAAAATTCAACCCCCCTCCATTTTCCAGACACACCAAAGGACCCCCCCGAGTGTATGTCCCTGCTTAGGTGGCATGTTTGTGACAAAGGTTACAAGGTGGGTGGGCCTTCCCAGCTCACACTCTGCAAAAGCGAACTGAAATTTCTCTTAAGAAATAAAAAAAAATCAGAGGATTGTTTTAGTCCAAGAATAATCTGCTCCTCTAATTTATAGTCCTGGCCCTGCCACCTGAGCCCATGCCTGTTTTAGGACAGTTTCAACACAAAGGAATGTTCTCTCATGTCTCTGGTGTCTCCAGAAACTGGCCAGTGCAGCTGCAGTGAAGTGAACTGCAAAGTCCTGCACCTGCAGGTAGATGACAACGGGCCACTCCTGTCCCTGCAGCTCACGACCCAGGGTCACCACATGAACACCCCTCTCCCAAGGGTTCTTTTCAAACACAGCCTGAAGTTGGCTCCCTCCTTGCTGTCTTGCCCTCTCGTTCCATCTCCACCTTCTAGAACAGGGTTCTCAAGTCCCCAGCCTTGAGCCACTTAGCCCAGCTCAAAGGCATGAACCAGGGGAGTCACTTTGCTTGACCACATAACTTTCATTGTGGCAAAACACACATAAAACATACCATTGAACCACTTTTTAGTTTATAATTCAGCAGCATCAAGTACATTCACAATTTTTCCATCTGTTAACAAAATGCAGTTCACAACCTTTTCAACATCCTAGGAGAAAACTGTACACATCCAACAATACATTCCCTATCATTCTATCCCAGAAGCCCCAGATAGCCTCCATCTTACTACTTCTCTGTGCGAATTCACCTATTCTAACTTTTTCCTATAATTAGAACTATAGATCAGTCTTTTTCTTTCTGCCTTATTTTTTTTAGCAAAATATTGTCAAGGTTTATCTATGTAAAAGGACATTACTCTGTTTATGCCTCATCTGTTAATGAAAATTCATTATTTTAAGCCATTGAGTTTTGGGGAAAAATAATAGAAGTAATAGACACTAATACACATGATCATGGCATTGGGAAAAAAAATTCCAGGCTTAAGACTATGTTTTCATTCTTTTTAAATACCTTGTTCATTGTGCGTAGGGAACTCAACACCTCATGGTCATTCAAGCACCCAGGCCAGGGAACAGCCCCTTTCATGAGCATGTGATCTCGGGAAGAGGTTGCTTCACGCACAGAGTTTCTTGCCGTTCAAGGACATCCTCCCAACACACCCATCACTGCCACTCACAAACCAATGGTCCCAAGACTCGCCTGGTCCATCACGTTAAAGAACTGAAAATGCAACATGTCCTGACACCACAAAGTGTCCTGCAAGTATTTGGTGAATCATGACCCTTCCAGAGAGGCCTCAGGCACTAAACCTGCCACTTCATTTGGAACAGCCTCACTTTACAGGCTCATAGTGGGGGTTCCAGGTGATGATACACCCATGTGCTGAACCCAGGGCCCCACCCCGGGGGTGAGCACTGTCAGCAGGTCCTTGTGATAGTGCTTGAGAAAGCCCGCAGGGTCATGCAGGATGAACAAGGAACTGCTTTGCTTTCCTGCAGGAGCAGCCGGTGAGGAGGAGCTGCAGGTGATCCAGCCTGAAAAGTCCGTGTCGGTGGCACCTGAGAGACGGCCACTCTGCGCTGCTCCCTGACCTCCCTGCTCCCTGTGGGGACAGTCAGGTGGTTCAGGGGGTCGGGTCCAGGCCGGCACTTAGTCTACAGTTTCAAAGGAGTAAAAGACGAAGGCCCCTTCCCCCGAATAACCAGTGTCTCAGATGCCACAATCAGAGACAACAAGGACTTTTCCATCCGCATCAGTAACATCACCCCAGCAGACACTGGGGTCTACTACTGTGTGAAGTTCCAGAAAGGGAGCCCTGACACAGAAGTGAAGTCGGGACCAGGCACGCAGGTCACCGTGAGTGGTGAGTACCGTGGGGGCCCCCGCCCGCGTGTGGCAGCAGGTCACTGTCTCGCCCTCCTTTCTGTGAGCAACAGCTAAGAGTCAGGCGTGGATGTGGGTGCTGATCTACATGGCTTGATTCACCCCCTTCTACAGACTGGGAAAGTCGAGGCTCAAGGTCGCAAGGCTCAGAAATGGGGTGAGGTCTGGAACCTGACTTTCTGGTTCCACAGTTCAGGTAAATGAAGAAAACTTGCATTTTTCCCCCTTACAAGTATCTCCTGGGCTCCACTGTCCATGTGAAAAACTTTCCAGGGTGTGCTGCTTCTGAACAGCATTTAAATGGGAGCTGAGTTGGCTGCCAATAGGGGCTGGCATCCCCAGATCCCTTCTGCCTGACCCCCAAGTTGTCCCTGAGAAAATCTGTCCTTCCTTTTAAAGTGCTGCAGCTTTCCAGAAAGAGAAATCTTCATGACAACACCTCGGATCTCATTTGTGTGTTGGTGTCATTCCCCCAAACAGCTCTCTAGCGGGCCTGTGACAAGAAGAAACAGAGAATCACCAGGAGTCATTTCTGCTGCTTTTCTTAATCAGGTCTTCAGAGCAGCAGCAGGACTTGCCACTTTCCTGGGTGTTTGCCCTGCTGCTACCCCCCCACCCCAAGATGGGTGGTGACCGGGACGGGGACAGCAGCCACAGGAGCTGGTTGTCAGCACCTGCTGTGAACCCGCCCATGCTGGGCACATCCTCACTCCTCTGCCCAGGTGGGGCTTTGACACCTTTGACAGAAACACACTCGGAGCCTCAAGGATGCAGAACAGAGACACAAGGGGGTCACTCATGAGGTCTGTCCTGGGTGGGGAGACTTGGGCTCTGCACCTCCCCAGTATGAAGGAGGCGCTTCTGCTTCTTTCTAGCCCTGACCACGGAGAGACGCCCACCTTGTCTCCCTGAGGCTCAGGGATCCTTGTTCAACCCAAAACTGACCCCGAGTAGAAGGAGAACCTCAATTCACAGCCCTCTGACCCCTCCCTTCAAAATCAGAGCTGGGCACAGATGAGACCTACTTGAGAAATTGTTTAAAGAATGGAAAGTTGGGAGTAAATCCCTCCCCGCCCGTGGGGAGAGCTGGGAGACCAGACTTGTGCTTATTACTCATCTGAGTTTATCTTCTGAAACTTGCCTCAGCGGCCTGCTTTCCTCACGCACCACAGAGAGAGAGCCTGCCCCCCATTTCACAGATGAGGAAGGGAGGTGCCTGGACCCTCTCCAGGGCTGGCAGGCAGGTGCCAGCCTCCATGGGGCCCCCATGTCCTGCATTCCTTCTGTGAAGCTTCTCTGACCTTGGAAGGGCTTCCAGGGTGACAGGCCAGGAACAGCAATAGACACTGAGGTCATGTAGTTCCTGAGCCCAGACTCTGGAAATCCCCTGGAGAGAAAGAAGGGGAACTATGAACCCGGCCTGCAACCCTATCACCCTGCCCCGATCCTGGTTCACCTCTGGGAGCCTGGGTATACCTAAATGAGGGTGATGACACCCCAGCACTACTAGAGACGAAACAATAACCAGGTGAAGTTATAAACAGCGTCATCTGCTTATCCTTGGTGGGAGTCACGGTCACGCTTATTGTTACAAATGCTCCTTTGTAGCCAAACCCTCTCGCCCTGTGGTATCAGGGCCCACAGAGAGGACCACCCCTGGGCAGACGGTGACCTTCACCTGCCAGTCCCACGGCTTCTCCCCCAGAGACATCAGCCTGAAGTGGTTCAAAAATGGGAATGACCTGCCAGCCCCCCGGCCCGACGTGGACCACCAAGGAGAGGCCGTTTCCTACAACGTCTCCAGCACAGCCACGGTGCATCTGGCACCAAGGGACATCCACTCCCAGGTCATCTGCGAGGTGTCCCACGTCACCCTGCAGGGCGGCGGTCTTCGCGGGACAGCCAACTTGTCTGAGACCATCCGAGGTATGAACCCCCGCAGCCCAGCCCTGGCCGAGACACAGTCTCCTCCTCCCCACTCACTCCAGGCGCTGATATTCAGCAGTCCAGTTCCACTGTCCTTGGCCATCATCGGCCCTGCATGTGTGGGTCACTCCCCCAGTCTCCACAGCAACTGCTAGGGCAGCAACTCCCACGTGCCCGGCAGTGAAGAGGCAGTTTCCAAATTTTACCCGCAGCCACCCCAACACCGGGCGCCCCCTGCAACCCTGCCTGACCTGCTTGGGGTTGGTATTGATTTGCCACACTGTTTGTGATCCCACCACTGCCTGCAGGTGCGGGACCTGTTGATTTCCCTCCTATTGCCGTCCAGTCCTTGAGCACCTACTGTGTGCTGGGCACTGTGCTTAGTGATCACACACACATGCAGAGAGAGCCTGTGTTGGAGGCAGCCTGCCTGCCCAGCATGACCCAGGAGACCCCACTGCTAAGGTGGAGGCCAGTGAAGGGTCACCTCCCTATGGATCTGTGCCATAAGGTCAGAGCTACTGCCCTGTGCTGTTACAGTTCCACCCACCTTGGAGGTTTCCCAGTATCCCGCGGCAGGAAACCAGGTGAATGTCACCTGTCAGGTGAAGGAGTTCTACCCCCAGAACCTACAGCTGACCTGGTTGGAGAACGGACACGTGTCCCGAACAGAAAAGCCCTCGACTCTCCTGGAGAACAAGGATGGGACCTTCACCTGCACGAGCTGCCTCCTGGTGAACACTTCTGCCAACAGGGGGAATGTGGTGCTCACCTGCCAGGTGGAGCACGATGGGCAGCCTTTGGTCTCCAAAGCTCTCACACCAGCGGCCTCTGCTCACCAGGGCAAGCAGGACACAGAGGTATCTTCAGGTAAGGCCTCAGCTCCAATGACCCAACCTTTTATATTTTATCTTATTTTTTTAATGTTACAGGTTACAATTCATGTTTTATTGATAATCTAGAATGTATAGCTATGAACAGAATTTAAAGGAGCTGCCTCATCACATTTCCTCCACCCTGAGTGTCCAGAGGTCAAGTGTTTGGAATGAAGCATTGCAGGTCATGGACATAAGCATTAAAGAGAGAAAGTTGGGGCAGGAGTTGATGCTCCCATTCTGGTCCTGCTCTTACCATCTGCCTTAATCCCAGGAAGGATGCAGATTTAAAGCTTCAGATGCTTGATGGATGAGGGAACCCCAGTGGGTAGTGGAGGCCCAGGGAAGGATTCCAGTGTGGCCCCTAATGGTGCCTCCTGTCCCTTGACTTCCAGGCAAAGAGCAGTGGATGCCTCTCCTCATCACTCTTCTCCTGAGCTCAAAGGTGTTGCTACTGGTGGGTGTCCCTGCCTCCTACATGCACAGGAAGCAGAGGCCTAACTGTAAGTACTGGGCAGAGAGGCAGGCCTAGTTCTGTCCTGGGAGGGGCAAGTTCAGCAGGTCACACTGGTCAGGGCCCCTGGAAATAAGAGAAGCTGACACACCTCCCTCAACACCCTCAGGAGGCTTAGGTCCCTCTAAACATCCCAGCATCCAGAATGTGTTGGGGAACTGCAGAGGGTGTTCCAGAGTGACTGGGGAGGCCTGGGTGGTGTGGCAGATACAGGCAAGGGCCTGAATGGAGGGCCTGAGTGGGGGGTTACCTTGGAGACCATCTCTAGGTCATTTGAACATGGGGGCTCCGTGGGTTGAAAGGAATCCACAATGAAAGGAGTGTTGAGGAGTCCCAGGTTTGCTGCTCTGAGGTATTTCTGAGGCTCTGTGTGAGGCACAGAAGGGCTGAGGTGTCAGGGATAGCGAAGGCTGAGGTGCAGAGGCCTATCTCAGGGACTGCCCAAGAGAGCAGCACCAGAGCCATGAGAGACACATAGGGAGTGCGTCCTGAGCACGAGCAGGTATTCAATGTGGGCATATCTCCTGCAGCTTTCTCCCTCCTCCCTGCTGCCTGCACCTCCAGCTCTGCAGCCTCCTCCCTTTCTGAAGGGCCTGCGTAGAGGAGGAGGGACAAGAGCCTCCACAGACTCTGCTCCCCAGGCCTCTCCCCCAGAGACCTGCTGCCCCCACCCCCGCTGTCCCTTCTCACAGGCTGACCCCAGAGCTGGCTTCATCCAGGGGCCTCTCAGGAATGCACACCCGCAGAATTCCCAGTCAGTAGTTTCGGTTCTCATCGCATGACCAAAATGCAGTCGGATGAGAACAAGGGGCTGCTGGGAGTGAGACCCAGAAAGGGACTATGCTAGTCACTGCATCAGAGCTGGTTCCACCGTCATCGGCCACAAGCCAGGGAAGAAAACAGAAACTAGGGCAGGTGGTACAATTTGCTCTGATGAGAAAACCACAGTGCAATTGGCTTTGACTCAATAACAAGCATGCCTTTATCTCATCCCGTGGTAGCCCTTTAAGGACATTGTACAACTGAGGTGTGATAATTTAAGTAAGTTGAGAATTCCTGAAGTGACATTTCAACTAGGAGCGGGTTCAACAGGGGCCCTCTGTGTGGCTGATCCACCCGTGACTGAGGACGCATCCAAGGCATTCGTAGAAAGAAGCCATCTGGCTAAAGGTGAATATTCAGAGAAAAGAAAGACTCCATGTAACATCCTCACTCACACGACAGTGGACTCTCACGTGAAGTGAGCCCCACGTTAGCAGAGGGAGGGGCTGACAGGCATCAAGCCGAAATACTGAAATGGGGATTCTAGAGACATTTTTAAAAATCAGTGAAAAGTCTGTTTTTTGAAAGATAAATATAATAATAAAAACCATTAACTAGACTCAACAAGAAATAGGGAGAGGACTCAAGTAACTACCATATAAATGGAAGAGGAGAAATTACAACAGGAACCACAGAAACACAGAGGCACATGGAGACTGCTATCAGCTACACATGCCACAGACTGGACAACCAAGATGAAAGAGATATATTCCTGCAAGCACACAGCCTATCTTGACTGAACTCTCAAGAAGTTTTCATACATATGTACTGAGATCACAGGTTGAATACGCATTTTTCTACTCTGAAATATGGAAGGATTTCTCTATAATTATTCATGGAGTTTCTGGTCTATCTTTGCAAAATACTAATATCGTGTTCTTTTGACCCTTTGAAGAAACACTGCCCTGAATTTGGTGTTTCATATCCTCAGATATGATTGTGCTTTTATAACATAGATATACATACTTAAGCAAAATTTTATTTCACGTTGCATATTCTAAATATTTTATAAATGTGATTATCCAGTTTATATCTCTCGGGAAGTTCTCCTATAGTTTATTGCTTAACACAGTTTGTGGGATTTATTCATCTTGATAGACGTAGCTCCATTGATTGATTTTTCCACTATTCTATAGTCTTCTATTGAAGACTATGCCACACTTTATTAATTCTTCTCATTCTGTATATTGAAACTTTACCTGGTGCTTTGAAGTACAACTTCCCACTAAGACTCTTATCTTGTGTCCTCCCACCATCCGGGACAGCACCCCTCACCCTTCTAGCGTGGCCTGCAAAGCTGAATGTTGTGTCATTTGGGATCTTGTTGTGCAGAAGAGTTTTCACTTTATGATCAAATGTTGCTTTTTTAATTCATGCTTTTGATAGCTACACTGATCTGCTGTGTGCATGTGTGTGTATAAGTAACAGTCATGTTATAATTTATTACAAAGCACTCACTGAACTTCACAGCCCCCTTCACTTTATATCAAGTTTCCATATACTTGTGTGGTTCTTTTTATGAGATCTTTTTCCATTGAGCTTCTCATCTCTTAGTCAAAGCTACATGGACAAGAATAAGTCCATGTAATAAGTTTTGACACCATTTTGAGCAAAGTTTCCCACTTTTTCTTATTTAAAATATCCTGGGACCTGCCTGGTGGTGCAGTGGTTGAGCGCTGGCACTCAGACCTCTCCTGCCACACCTGCTGCTCCCCTCACCAATGTACTTCATCAGTTTGCCTGTTCTGCTCCTCACTCTGGCTCTGTTGAATTCTCTTACCCTCCTGTGTCTGACTGTACCCAGTGCAAGTATAAATAAATAAATAAATAAATAAATAAATAAATAAATAAAATAATAAATAAATAAAACATCATGACTGTTTAGGTCCAAGTGATCTTAGAATCATGTGTTCTATTTTCCCATTCATGGTATGCATCTGTTTTAGTTTTGCTTTTATGACTTTCTAGTCATAATTTTAGAGTTTTCCCATAATGGTTTGATGCATCTCTAGTTAGAGCTGTCTTTAACAATTTCTAGTCTGTGGACAAGAAAAGTATTATTACTGTTTTCAATGACTCTTGACTATGGTATAGGATTGTAATTGTGTGCAGAGCATCGATCTTATATTCAGCAAGAGCACAGGACACCTGCTAGTACTGTTAGTATGTTTTCTTTGGGGGTAACTTTGTAACATTACCTAATGATCAAAAATCAATTTTTACCAACATCGAGGGTTGGTTGAAATAGATGTGGGGGAGAGACCCGTGGAGGATAACAATGGCAAATTTTATATTGGTTTTGATTTTGCTCTTTTCCTCCCAGGCTTGTCTGGTTGTTTCTGATCCTTTACTGTGGGTCCCCACTGGAAGGTGCTTTGGACTTGTGGCAGACTTTTGGGCGTTGCTCTGGGCCAATCCCATTTGGGTGGACTTTTACCCATAAGGGGATGAGTAATTTTGGGGGCTTGATTTAGAAGCTATATTCTTTGACTTTCCTGTATAGTTTTCTAATTGTATTAAAGTTCCTTCCCGTTAAAGTCTTACATGTTTTGTGTTGCTATGGCGGGTGGCAGAACCTATTTGGAGTAGGCAGGATTGGGAGCTCTGGGGCCCCCACTCCTGGCCGGGTAACAAAGAGACTGAAGGGTAATTCTACTCCTGCAAGGAAATCCTCACCTAAGCTTCAGTGAGATACAAGCTCTTGAAACTCATGAACTTTAGCTGGTCTGCCTTGGCCAGTCCAGTCTTTCCAGGACAGCTCGTGCTGGTCACCTGTAGTGATGACATCTCCGTGTTCTGATGCTCAGTTACAGACGGCTGCAGGCACATGTCTTCTTAAACACCTTTCCTAGTTCTCACTATAGTAATCCTCAGCCGTCTCTTGGACTGTGCTTGGACTGTTACTTTGGTGGGGGGGCAAGAATGGCCACCAGCCAGTCACCCTAGAGCCTTGGGCATGGGCCTGTGAGACACACCTTGTATCCCTATGGGATTCTCTTTTCCTGGGGCTACTGAATGGAGAATCACTGTGACCCTAAGAGGGAGTAGCAAGCAAGTAGCAAGGAGAGACAAGGCTACCCCGACGGAAGAAGCACTATTTCTACGAGGCTGCACAAGTCTCTGAAAACATATGAGAAGCTCCTGACCTTAAGCTTCCCTCCATCCCAGCTTCACATGGAAGTGTGTCAACACCTCGTCATTTCACCACTGGTATGAGCTTCCTCTTGTATCACACAAGGGCCTCCTCTCCACAGAGCAGATTCTGGGCTCCCAGCACACACCCGGACAGAGCAGGCTCCTCCAGTTCCAGGATGCCTGCCCCTGCCTCCTGGACCCACCAGTCTCCTTGTCTGCTGCTGGCTTTACTGCTGGGACTCACAGGTGAGCAGGGCCATGGGAAGATCCCCCCTCCCTGCCCTGGATGTCTCTTTAACCAAGGAGTTGTAGGGCATTCAGATAAACAAGGATAAGCACCCCTGCTGCTATCCCCTGGGCAACCACAGAGAGCCAACGACTAGACATTATTTGAGAGCACGGAACAGGGGGTCAGAGCAACTTTTCTGTGGCTCTGTCACCTGCCACTGTTATCAGGGACATGAAAACAGATGATGGTTTGATGAGTGTGTTAACTTGGTTGATCCTCACAACATAACTGTTTATAATGACGATGGTTGCCCCAGCTTTGCAGAAAGGGAGACCAAGGCAGAGAGCATAATTTGCCCAGTTGCATCTACCCAAGTCTGTGGAGAAGCCAGAATTCAAGACTAGGGCCAAGACCTCCAGGATTCATTCCTTTTTACCACGTTATGCTGTTGGCTATTCAGTGGAGGCTCTTGCAGAAAAGTTAGACATACGGAGAAACTAGCAGAATAGAGATAGGACAGACATCTAGGACACAGAAACAGGAGGTAGGACAGGGTTGAAATTCTGCTGTGTGCTCCCAAACTTTTGTTAATGATGTGTTACTATGTACCAATATTTTCAATGAGCATTTAACATACACAATCCTCCAAACCTACTCCTTGTATACTAGCAAGCCAGGACAGCACTTCACATGTATTGGCAAATGCATGTTGTGGTGGATGTGCATGTATGTACAGGTGTGAGAAGTGTGCAGAGACACACACTTGTGGGATTTTTGAAAAGGTTTTTTTCCATTGTTCTCTCCAATCATTTCTCAGTCTGCATGAAGTGCACATTGACAAAAGTTTAGTTGTCAGAGTCTCTCTACTCTCTTCCTTCCCCTTCTACTTCTCCAAATTTCCCCTGTCCTTCTCGAAACTATTAGACAAAAAATTCTTCTCCCTTGGCAAGAGAGTAAAGTGTGTGCATGATTTTCTTGGAGTCCTGCCCTCGTGCTGTAGGGGGGTGAGGAGGAAAGAAGGGGATGGAAACACAGAGCCTCACCTAGACCGTCTCCATCTGTCCTTGCGCCCACATCTGGGTTTGCACCTCTCCCCATGCGCTGTCATCCAGCGTCCGTTCAGGCCTCAGGAAATCTGGGAGTGGAATTCTGTGCATTCCTCCTTGGAGGCCTCCTCCAGGCTGGATGGGCTGAGGAGACAAGAAGGGGGAGGTGCAGGTTCCTGAAGGATACAGAGCAATGATCCCCGTGTGTGATTCTAGCTGCACTCCTATCTCTGTCATCTATGTCCCCAGAAGCCTCTCAGCCTCAGGAAATCCGATGAGTAAAATCACTGCAATTTCTTGAGCCCTCACCATGTACCAGACACAGCGGGAAAGGCCTGGGGGTGTCATCTCCTGTGACCATTATCTCTGAGGCAGCTAACTTATCCCCCTCCTTACAGGTGGAATAACAGAAGCACAGAGAGTTTCAAGGTCACTCACCCTCACTGGTAGAGCTGCGATCTGAACTCACACAGTCTGACTAGAGTTCCCGGGTTAACCACCACCCTTCTCGGTTCTGTGTGATCCGACTCCTCCCCAGGAGCTTTCTGCAGCTTCTGTTTGCAGGTGGGGGCAAGGAGAGTGAGGGAAAGAGGGTTTGTTACTTTCTTCTCTGGGTTCTTCCTCTTCCTGGAAGCTGTTTGTATATTAGACCAAGTCATCTCCGGGGGAAACTCTCGGGATTTCTGCTCAAAATAGACACTGGGGTCTCCGGGAGGTGCAAAAGTCTCCTCTGTGTCTGGCGCTGTTACGGGCAGGAGAGGTGAGTTGCTAAAGGAAAGAGACAAGGTTGTTGCCCTCTTGGGGTTATGTCTCAGTGGGAGAAATGACAGCAGACAATAGACACGCTAGGTAAGTCCAAGACACGGTGTGTTAGGGTCTGACCCGTGTGAAGGGCAAAGAGTGAAAGTATCCCAGGTAGGAGAACTGCCAGTATCTGGAGCAGGATGGATTTTTTTAAAGGACAGTGTGGGTGGCATCTCTGAGAGAGAAACTTGAGCAATGGTTAAAAGGAGGTGTGGATGAGATAGGTAGATTCTAGGTTAGAGCCCTCCTGACAGGGAGCAGCACGGGCAGAGGCCCTGCGTGGAGGCTTTTCTGTTCTGTTCAAGGACGTGGGCTCCCGTGAGTGGTGCCACTGCAAAGTCAGAGAGAGACGCGATGATCTGACATTAGCTTTAATCATGGTAGCACTTGGACAGAGAGGCAAGCACTTGGACAGAGGAGATTCCTTGGAGAAACAAGGAACACTGGTGCACGAGGACGGCTGCTGTAGAGACGGGCGAGGTCAGACCTTAGACACATGATGAAGCAGCAACAGATTCTCTGACCCGCAGGATTTGGATGGGAGAGAAAGAGGCAAATATTTGGGTCTGAGCCTCTGGAAGAATAAGGGGCCTCAGGAGACATGGAGAGTCCTGTCCACTGTGAGCTGTGCTTTTCCATCCAAGCACCATGTCCAGGGGGCTTTGGCCGTACAAGTCCAGCTTTCAGGGAGAAGGTCTGGCAGAGATGTAAACGCAGGAGCCACAGAGACAGGGATGACACTTCCCCATGACGCGGCTACCGCTGACTGTCTGACCTTCTTTCCCTCATCCATTTCTCCCTCCAGAGTCATATTTCTTGCCATTTTTGTCTACCCCACAACCCAAAATCCTCCTTGAAATTAACCACTCCCTCTGTGATCCAGACACACCAAAGGCCCCGCCCTCTACAGCCTGTGCCTCCTTAGGGCATGTTTGTGACAAAGGGTGGGAGGTGGGTAGGTCTTCCCAGATCACACTCTGCCAAGGTGAACCGCAAATTGTGTCCTAAGAAATAAAAAAAGTAAGAGGATTTGTTTGAGTCCACCAACAATCTGCTCCTCTGATTTATAGCCCTACCACCTGGGCTCATGCCTGTTTTAAGACACTTTGAACAAGAAGGAATGTTCTGGCATTTCTCTGTTTTCTCCAGAAACCAGGTAGTGCAGCTGCAGTGAAAATGAACAGCAAAGTGCTGCACCTGCAGGTAGATGACCACGGGCCACTCCTGTCTCTGCAGCTCACGACCCAGGGTCCCAACACGGGCACCCCCACAGTTCTTTTCATACATAGGCTGAGGTCGCTCCCTCCTTGCTGTCTTGCCCACTGGTTCCATCTCCACCTTCTAGAGCAGGGTTCTCAAGTCCCCCAGCCTTGAGCCACTTAGCCCAGCTCAAAGGCATGAATCAGGGTAGTCACCGTGCCTGACCACATTTTTTATATTGTGGCAAAACACTCATCACATAAAACTCACCACTGAACCTTTTTTAGGATGTAGTTCAGTGGCATCAAGTACGTTCACATTATTTCAAACTGACACCAGGATGCATGTCAGAATCCTTTCAGTATCCTGGGAGAAGTCTCTGTACCCACTAACAATAAATTCGCTATTAATCTTCCCCAGCAGCCCAAGGTTACCCTTATGCTCTTACTTGTCTCTAGGAATTTGCTAATTCTAACTACTTCATGTAATTAGAACTATATATCAATCTTTTTTTTCTGGTTCATTTTATTTAGTAAAATGTTGTCAACTTTTATGTATGTGAAAGGACATAAATGATCTCATTCCCTCTTTAGGGCTGAGTAATATTCCATTATTTATGCCACATTCTGTTTATGCCTTCATCTGTTAATGGAAATTCATTATTTTAAGCCATTGACTCTTAGAAAAACATTACAGTGGTAATAGACACAAATATACCATGATCGTGGAATTGGAAAAAAGCCCAGACTTGAGACCATGGTTTTCCTTTTATTAAATACCTCGTTCACTGCTTATAGGGAGCTCAGCACCTCATGCTCATGCAAGCACCCTGGGAACACCCCTGTCATGAGCACATGGTCTATGGAATAGATTGCTTGACCCACAGAGGTTCTCGCTGTTCAATCCATCCTACAAACACAACCATTACTTCCGCCACCAACCAATGGTCTCAAGACTCGCGTGTCCATGAATGTAAAGGACTGAAATGCAACATCTCCTGAGACCACAAAGTGTCCAGCCAGTATTTGGTGTAGCATGACCCTTCCAGAGATGGCTCAGGACTAACCCTGCCGCCTCACCCTCCCTGTGCCTCAGTGTCCTCATTAGGAACAGCCTCACATTACAGGTTTGTTGTGGGGGTCCAGGTGTTGACATCCCCATGTGCTGAGCCCGGGAACCGCCGAGGTAAGCACTTGTCAGCAGGTCCTGGTGATAACCCTGAGAAAGCCCGCAGGTTCCCGCAGGAAGAATGAGTAACCACTTGCTTCCCTGCAGGCGCGGCCAGCCAGGAGGAGCTGCAGGTGATCCAGCCTGACAAGTCCGTGTCGGTGGCAGCCGGAGAGACGGCCACTCTGCGCTGCTCCCTGACCTCCCTGCTCCCTGTGGGGCATAATAAGTGGTTCAGGGGTTCGGGTCCAGGCCGGCAGTTAGTCTACAGTTTCAGAGGAGGAGAAGGCCCCTTCCCCCGAGTAACCCAAGTGTCAGATGTCACAATCAGAGACAACAAGGACTTTTCCATCCGCATCAGTAACATCACCCCAGCAGACACTGAGGTCTACTATTGTGTGAAGTTCCAGAAAGGGAGCCCTGACACAGAAGTGAAGTCGGGACCAGGCACGCAGGTCACCGTGAGTGGTAAGTTCCGTGGGGCCCCCGCCCACGTGTGGCTGCAGGTCACTGTTACGCCCTCCTCTGTGAGCAACAGCTAAGAGTCAGGCGTGGATGTGGGTGCTGATCTACATGGCTTGATTCACCCCCTTCTACAGACCGCGGAAGTCGAGGCTGCACAAGTCATGCCTGTTGCTCATGGTCATGTGGCGGGGAAATGGGTTGCGGTCTGGAACCCCAGACTACCTGGCTGCACAGTTCAGGTGTCTGAAGAAAAGTTGCCCTGGTCGCCCCCACAGAGCTCACCTCACTGGGCTTGGATTCCCACCCTCTGGGCCTGAGGAAGACACGAGACACCCAGTTTAGGACCCAGCTTCATTACTGGGAAACCTCCCACCTCTAAATATTTAAACGGGAGCTGAGGTGGCTGCGAATAGGGGCTGAGATCCCCACAGGCTTCTGCCTGAATCCCAAGATGCCCCTGGAAAGTCTGTCCCCCTTCTTTCAATGTGCCGCAGCCTTCCATAAAGAGAAATCTCCATGAAAACACCTCGGATCTCATTTATGTGTGGGCGTCATTCCCCCAAATGGCTTCCTAAAGGGCCTGTAACAAGGGGCAGAGAATCACCATCAGTGGTGTCTGCTGCTTTCCTCAGTGGGGTTCTTCAGAGCAGCTGAGGACTTGCGACATTCCTGGGTGTGTCCCCTACTGCTTCCCCCCACCCCAGACAGTCTCAGGTGGGTGGTGACCAGGACGGGGACAGCAGCCACAGGAGCTGGATGTCAGCACCTGTTGTGAACCTGCCTGGGTGGACACATCCTCACTCCTCTGCCCGGGTGAGGCTTTGATCACTTTGCACAAAAACACACATGGAGGCTCAAGGATGCAGAACAGAGACCAAAGTGGTCACTCACATGCCGGTTCTGCCTGCGGTCCCCTGGGCTCTGGCCCTCCCCAGGATGAGAGAGTCGCTTCTGACACTTTCCTGGCCTGTGTCTGTCTCTTATTTAATGACACTGAGAGACGCCCGCCTTGGCTTCCTCAGGCTCAGGGATCCTTCTTTCCAGCCAAACCTGACCCTGAGGCCAAGGAGAAACCCTATTCACCATCATCTGTACCCTCCCTTTTAATCAGAGCTGGGCACAGATGAGACCTACTCGGAAATTGTTTAAAGAATGAAAAGTTTGAATTAAATCCCTCCCCGCCCATGGGGAGAGCTGGGAGACCAGGCCTGGGCTCATCACTGATCTGCGTTTATCTTATGAAACTTGCCTCCGCGGCCTGCTTCCCTCAAGCATCCCAGGAGCAAGAGCATGCGTCCAGTTTCACAGATGCGTGAGGGAGGTGCCCGGTCCCCTCTCCTGGACTGGCAGCCTGGTTCCAGCCTCCACAGGTCCCCTGTCCTGCTGTGTTCCTCCTGTGTTGCTTCTCTGACCTTGGAAATGCTCCCAGGCTGGCAGGTCAGGAACAGCTATAGAGACGATGTTGTTCCTGAGCCCAGACTGATGGGAAATCCCCCAGAGTTAGAGAGGGGGACTCTGAACTCAGGCCTGCATCCCTGTCAACATTCCCTGGTCCTGGTTCACCTCTGGAAACCTGGGTGTCCCTAAATGAAAGTGATGCCACCCTCATTTAATCATCAGGTGAAGTTATAAACAGTGTCACCCGCTTATCCTTGGGGAGTCACAGTCACGCTTATTGTTACAAATGCTCCTTCGCAGCCAAACCCTCTCGCCCTGTGGTATCGGGACCCACAGAGAGGGCCACCCCTGGGCAGACGGTGACCTTCACCTGCCAGTCCCACGGCTTCTCCCCCAGAGACATCAGCCTGAAGTGGTTCAAAAATGGGAATGAGCTGCCAGCTCCCCGGCCCAACGTGGACCCCCCAGGAGAGGCCGTTTCCTACAGCGTCTCCAGCACAGCCACGGTGCAGCTGGCGCCGGGGGACATCCGCTCCCAGGTCATCTGCGAGGTGGCCCACATCACCCTGCAGGGCGGCGGTCTTCGCGGGACAGCCAACCTGTCTGAGACCATCCGAGGTGTGAACCCGCCCAGCCCAGCCCTGCCCGAGACACAGCCTGCTCCTCCCCACTCACTCCAGGCGCTGATATCCCAGAGTCCAGTCCCGCCATCCTTGGCCATCACCAGCCCTGCATGTGCCGGTCACTCCCCCTGTCTCCCTGGCAGTTGCCAGGGCAGCACCTCCCACGTGCCCGGCAGTGAGTGGGCAGCTTCCTGAACTTAACCCATAGCCATCACATCATTGGACACCCTCTATAGCCCTGCCCAAGGTGCTTGGGGATGGCATTTATTTGCCACAGTGATTGTGATCACACTGTTGCCTGCAGGGGCGGGGCCTGTTGATTTCTCTCTATTACCCTCCAGTCCTTGCGCATCTACTATGGGCTGGGCACTCTGCTTAGTGGTCGCACACACATGCAGAAAGAACCTCAGAGTTGGAGGCCCGCTGCCTGCCCAGCATGTCCCGGGTACACCCCTGCTGAAGTGGGGGGCCAGTGACAGCCTCCCCCCCTCCCCTGGGATCTGTGCCATAAGGTCAGAGCTTCTGCCCTGTGCTGTTACAGTCCCGCCCACCTTGGAGGTTTCCCAGTATCCCGCGGCAGGGAACCAGGTGAATGTCACCTGCCAGGTGAAGGAGTTCTACCCCCGGAACCTACAGCTGACCTGGTTGGAGAACGGAAACGTGTCCCGAACAGAAAAGCCCTCGACTCTCCTGGAGAACAAGGATGGGACCTTCACCTGCACGAGCTGGGTCCTGGTGAACGCTTCTGCCCTCAGGGGGAATGTGGTGCTCACCTGCCAGGTGGAGCATGACGGGCAGCCCGCGGTCTCCAAAGCCCTCACCCTGGCGGCCTCAGCTCACAAGGACAAGCAGGCCACACGTGTAACTTCAGGTCAGGCCTCAGCTCCAATGACCCAACCTTTTATGTTTTATCTTATTTTTTTCGTGCCACCGGTAACAATTCATGTTTTATTGATAATCTAGAATGCACAGCTATGAACAGAATATAAAGGAGCTGCCCCATCCCAATTTTCACACCCTGAGTGCCCATAGGTCAAGTGTTCAGAACTGAGCATTGCAGGTCATGGACGTAAGCATGAAAGAGAAAGTGGGGGTTGGAGGTGATGCTCCCACTCTCAGTCCTGCTCTTACCATCTGCCCCCCATAGTGGCTGCAATAGCCAGGTCAGCCACCCCTCGTGGCTCCCCACAATCCACTGAATCTCTAGTCTGTGCTGGTCTCTACACCCCTATTATCAGCATCACCGGCTGATGCTGCACCTCTGTCTGTGAAGGATTGGCCTGTCTCCCTGGGCGTGGGGTGTGAGTCTGGAGCTGACATGGGCCAGCAAACATCACAAGGACTCACTAAAATACACAACCTGCAAGATTCAGTCCCCTGTGACTTCACGTCCACTTCAATACCCTGCGGTTTTAGAGTTTTAGAGAAAGGAGTCAAGGAGCAACAAGGTGGGGGGTGGGGTTTAATTTCCCCCTTTGAGTAACTGTTGGCTGCAGAGACCATTTCTGGAGAGAAGCAGCTGCTCTCTGCACTGTCCTTGGCTGCCCCAGTGAACAGAAGGGCCCCCAGTGATTTGGCCCAAGGGGCACACCCCACATCTCAGGTCCCACCAGGGCCCAATTGCAGCCCCGCCCAAACGTCAGCCCCTTTCCTCACTCAACAGGTGCTCCACTGCCAGCTGTTCTCACAGGTCAGACACAGGTCAGACAGGTTCAGGGCCCCCTCCACCCTGGAGACCACCCTTGGGGAGCAGGCGGCCTGGACTCCCTCCCCCAAGAGCCGCCCACACTCTCCTCGCACATGTGGTCTGTCACTCACAAGACCCTGAGGTTTGAGTCTTCTTGTGCAAAGAGCAGATCTGGCATCATCCTACCAGACAGTGATGGATTTTCCTTATTTTGGTCACACTGCTCTTGCAGGGCCCCCTCAACTCCCTGAACCTCACATTCATAATCAGTAGAGCACAGTCATCACCCTCCGGCACCTCGGGAAGCTCTTTACCCTGATTCCTGCCTTAATCTAGAGAAGGACGCAGGTTCAAGCTTCAGAGGGTTGACCAGGGGAGCCCAGTGGGTAGTGGAGGCCCAGGGAAGGGCTCCAGTGTGGCCCCTAATGGCGCCTCCTGTCCCTTGTCTTCCAGGCAAAGAGCAGTCGATGCCACTCCTCATCGCTCTCCTCCTGGGCCCCAAGGTGCTGCTGCTGATTGGTGTCTCTGCCTCCTACATGCTCAGGAAGCAGAGGCCCTGACTGTGAGTCCTGGGGTGGGAGGGCAGGCCAAGGTCTGTCCCGGGAGGGGCAAGGTCAGGTGGAGGGCAGCCCCCAGGACACTCGTGGTCAGGGCCCCTGGAAAATAAAAGAAGCTGACATACCTCCCTCAATTCCCTCGGATGGCTTAGGTCACTCAAACATTCCCAGCATCCAGAGATTATTTGGGGGACTGCAGATGGTGTTCAAGAGTGACTGGGGAGCCTTGGGGTTCTGTGGAAGAAACAGGCAGGGTCCTGAATAGAGGGCTTCAGTGAATGGCTCCCTTGGAGACCATGTCTAGATATTTTGAACATGGGGACTCCGTGGGTGGAAAGGAATCCCCAATGAGGGGAGTGTTGAGCAGTCCCAGGTTTGCTGCTCTGAGGTGTTTCTGGGGCTCTGGCACGGAAGGGCCAGAGGCGTCAGCACAAGGGTGAGAGCAAAGGCTGAGGTGCAGAGGCCTATCTCGGGGACTGCCCAAGAGAGCAGCACCAGAGCCATGAGAGACACACAGGGAGTGCGTCCTGAGCACTAGCAGGTCATTAAATGTGACATGTCTCCCTCAGCTTCTTCCCTCCTCCCTGCTGCCTGCACCTCCAGCTCTGCAGCCTCCTCCCTTCCTGAAGGGCCCGCCTAGAGGAGGAGGGAGAAGAGCCTCCACAGACTCTTCTCCCCAGGCCTCTCCCCTAGAGACCTGCTGCCCCCACCCTGCTGTCCCTTCTCACAGGCTGACCCCAGAGCTGGCTTCATCCAGGGGCCTCTCAGGAATGCACACCCGCAGAATTCCCAGTCAGCAGCTTTTGGTTCTCATCACATGGCCAAAGTGCAGTGGGATGGGAACAAGGGGCTGCTGGGAGTGAGACCCAGAAAGGGACGATGCCAGTCACTGCATCAGAGCTGGTTCCACCATCATCGGCCACAAACCATGGAAGAAATCGGAAACTAGGGCAGGTCGTGCAATTTGCTCTGATGAGAAAACCTCATGAAAGCTCACTTTGACTCAACAACAAGCATGCCTTCATCTCATCCCGCGTAGCCCTTGTAGGATATTATATAACTGGTTTTTCCACTGCTCTGCAGTCTCTTATTGAAGACTATGCCACAATTTATATTTCTTCTCATTCTAGATTGAAGCTTTACCTGGTGCTTTGAAGTACAACTTCCCAATAAGACTTTTATCTTGTGTCCTCCCTCCATCCGGGACAACACCCCTCGCCCTTCTAGCGTGGCCTGCAGAGCTACATGTTGTGTCAATTGGAGGTCTTGTTGTGCAAAAGAGTTTTCACTTTCTGATCAAGTGTTGCTTCTTTGATTCATGCTTTTGATCTAGCTACACTGATCTGCTGTGTGTGCGTGTGTGGAAGGCGTAGTCATGTTATAATTCTCCCACAAGGGTAAGTTACCCAGCACTCACTGATCTTCACTGCCCCTTCACTTTATATCAAGTTTCTGTAGACACCTGTGGTTCTTTTTTGAGGACTTTGTGTCATTGAGCTAATCATCTAATAGTCTAAGCTACATGGACAAGAAGAATGGCCTTGTAAAAAATTTTGAGACCACTTTGAGCAAAGTTTCCCACTTTTCTTATCTAAAATTGTCATGATTCTTTGGGTCCAAGTGATCTTAGAATCATATTCTCAAGTTTCATGGAAGCTCATTTAGAATTATTATTTGATCGCATTGAATTTACATATTATTTTCATCAACTGAAATCTTCCATGTATTGACTTTTCCCATTCATGACATACATCTATTTTAGGTTTGTTTTATGACTTTCAATTCATAATTTTAGAGTTTTCCCATGATGATTTTATGAGTCTCTAGTTAGAGCTTTCTTTAACAATTCCCAGTCTGTGGATATAAAAGTGTATTATCACTGTTTTCAATGACTCACGACTGTGGTATGGGATTGTGTTCAGAGCAAAGATCTTATGTTCAGCAAGAGCACAGGACTCTGACTAGTACTATTGGTATGTTTTCTTTGGGGGTAACTCTTGTAACATTAACCTAATGATTGAAAATCAGTTGTTACCTACATCTTAGGTTCATATGCACATGGTTTGAAAGTCAAGTAGTTCCACAAGTTCTAATAGGAAAGCTGGGGTCACCTAATATGACCATGTCCTCCTCCCAGAAGCAACTCTTTTCAATGCTTTCAACTGAGTGTTTTAGATTTTACTGCCCTATCTCAGAGAGGATATACTTGTATTGCTATGTTTTGATTTCTCTCTCTTAGGGATTATTTATTGTCTCCCCACTAGGGCTGATGGAGATACACTGTTCAGTTACCCCAACCTCATACCTCTCACATGCAAACTTTCTATCCTCATCACCCTATATTTTTCTAAAGATTTATCTATTTATTTATGCAAGAATGGGGGTACAGACCAGAGGTGTGGAAGGTGAGAGAATTCACCAGAGACAGAGCAGGGAGCAGAACAAGCAGATGGACCGAAAACACCGCTCGGGGAGCTGCAGGCAAGACAGGAGAGGTCTGCTGCACCATGTGGGAATCTCCCTGGCCAGCTGGGAATTGAACCCGTACTGCAGAGGCTGCAGACAGCTTCATGGCACTACACTCAACCCACTGCACCACCGGGGAGGCCTCCTGTTATACTTTTTATGGCCCTTTTCAGAATATTGCCTGAAGGAGTTACACTAGACCCAGTTAAAAGCAGACCCTCCGTATGATTACATTATACACCTTGTGAGGTTTTTGAACTTGTGTCAGGGACTGAAGGGAAATTTTATTCACTGTAAGGAAATCCTTACCAAAGCTTCAGTGAGCCACAAGCTCTTGAAACCCATGAACCTTAGCTGGTCAGCCCTGGTCAGTTCAGTCTCTCCCAGGACAGCTTGTGCTGGTCACCTGTAGTGATGACATCTGCGTGTTCTGGATGCTCAGTTACAGACCACTGCAGGCAAATGTCTTCTTAGACACCTTTCCTAGTTTCTCACTATTGTAGTCCTCAGCAGGCCCTTGGCCAATGAGCACCTCTTGGTGGAGGGGCACAGACTGGCTACCAGCCACTCACATCCTAGGTCCTGGGCATGGGCATGTGGGACACAGCTTGTATCCCTGTGGGATTCTCTTTTCCTGGGGTTCCTAAATGGATAGTCATGGAGACCCCAAGAAGGGGTAGCAAGCAAGTGCAGAGAGCTCAGGGCCAAGGGTGAGGCACTATTTCTACGAGGCTGCACAAGTCTCTGAACACATATGAGAAGCTCCTGACCTTAAACTTCCCTCCATCCCAGCTTCACCATGGAAGTGTGTCAACACCTTGTCATTTCACCACCAATGTGAGCTTCCTCTTGTGTCGCACAAGGGCCTCCTCTCCACAGAGCAGAGTCTGGGCTCCCAGCACACACCCGGACAGAGCAGGCTCCTCCAGTTCCAGGATGCCTGCCCCTGCCTCCTGGACCCACCAGTCTCCTTGCCTGCTGCTGGCTTTACTGCTGGGACTCACAGGTGAGCACGGCCATGGGAAGATCCTCCCTCCCTGCCCTGGATGCCTCTTTAGCCAAGGAGTTGTAAGGCATTCAGGTAAACAAATGTAAGCCCACTGGGGCTACCACAGAGAGCCAAGGACTAGACATTATTTGAGAGCACAGAATCAGGGATCTGAGCAACTTTTCTGTGGCTCTGTCACCTGCAACTGTTATCAGGGACATCAAAACAGATGATGGTTTGACAAGTGTGTTAACTTGGCTGATCCTCACAGCATAACTGTTTATAACGACAATTATTGTCCCTGCTTTGCCGAAGGGGAAACCGAGGCAGAGAGCATAACGTACCCAACACCATCTGCCCAAGTCTGTGGAGAAGCCAGAATTCAAGTCTAGGGCCAACAACTTCAACATTCATTCTTTTTACCACATTATGCTGTTGGCTACTCAGTGGAGGCTCTTGCAGAAAAGTTAGACATGTGGAGAAGGAAGTAGAGTCTAGATATAGGACAGAGAGCTAGGACAGAGGAACAGGAGGTAGGACAGGTTGGAAATTCTGCTTTGTGCGCACAAACTTTTGTTATGAATGATAGATGGTTGCTATGTACCAATATTTTTAATGAGCATTTAACATACACAATCCTCAAAACATACTCCTTGTATACTAGCAACTGGACAGCTCTTCATATGTATTTGCAAATGCATGTATGTTGTGGTGGATGTGCATGTATGTACAGGTGTGAGAAGTGTGCAGATACACACACACTCTTGTGGGATTTTGAAAGGTTTTTTTCATTGTTCTCTCCAATCACTTATGAGTCTGCATGCAGTGCACATTGACAAAAATTTAGTTCTGAGTCTCTCTACTCTCTTCCTTCCCCTTCTACTTCAAATTTCCCCTTGTCCTTCTCAAAACTATTAGATAAAAAATTCTTCACCCTTGGTAAGAGAGTAAAGCGTGTGCATGATTTTCTTGGAGTCCTGCTCTCGTGCTGCAAGAGGGTGAGGAGGAAAGAAGGGGATGGAAACACAGAGCCTCACCTAGACCGTCTCCATCTGTCCTTGCGCCCACATCTGGGTTTGCACCTCTCCCCATGCGCTGTCATCCAGCGTCCGTTCAGGCCTCAGGAAATCTGGGAGTGGAATTCTGTGCATTCCTCCTTGGAGGCCCTCCTCCAGGCGGGATGGGCTGAGGAGACAAGAAGGGGGAGGTGCAGGTTCCTGAAGGATACAGAGCAATGATCCCCGTGTGTGATTCTAGCTGCACTCCTATCTCTGTCATACTGTCCCCAGAAGCCTCTCAGCCTCAGGAAAGCCGATGAGTAAAATCATTTCAATTTCTTGAACCCTCACCATGTACCAGACACAGCGGGAAAGGCCTGGAAGGTGTCATCTCCTGTGACCATTATCTCCGAGGGAGCTAACTTATCGCCCTCCTTACAGGTGGAATAACAGAAGCACAGAGAGTTTCAAGGTCACTCACCCTCACTGGTAGAGCTGCGATCTGAACTCACACGGTCTGACTAGAGTTCCCGGGTTAGCCACCACCCTTCTCGGATGCGTGTGACCCATCTTCACCCATGAACTTTCTGCAGCTTCTGTGCACAGGTGGGGGGAGGGAGAGTGAGGGAAAGAGGGTTTGTGACTTTCTCTCCTGGGTTCTTCCTTTTCATGGAAGCTATTTTTATCTTTGGCCAAGTCATCTCCATGGGAAACTTTGAGGATTACCGCTCCAAATAGATGTGGGTTCTCAGGAAGGTTAGCACTGGACAGTCACATGATCAACCATTTATTGAATACCTACTACGTGTCCGAAGCTGATACAGTAATGAGGGGTGTGTTTCTGAATAAAATAGACAAAGTAGTTGCCCTTTTGGAGTTCTGTCTTAGTGGGAGAAATGGCAACAGACAATAGACACATTAAATAAGTACAAAATATAGTGGATTAGGGTAGGATCCGAGTTAAGGGGGAAAAAAAGAAAGTATTCCTAGATAAAAGAACTGCAAATACCTGCAGCAAGCTATATTTTAAACAAGGCAGTGTGGGTGGGCATCTCTGAGAGAGAAACTTGAGCAAAGGTTAAAAGGTGGTGTGGGATGAGCCGGTGGAGTTTGGGGGGAATTGCCTTCCTGACAGGGAGCAGCACGGGCAGAGGCCCTGCGAGGAGACTTTTCTGTTCTGTTCAAGGATGTGGGCTCCCGTGAGTGGTGCCACTGCAAAGTCTAAAGAAAGAAGTCATGATCTGACATTAGCTTTAATCATGCTAGCACTTGGACAGAGAAGCAACTAGAACACTTAAGGGGTCATTTCATGGAGAAACAAGGAACACTGGTGCAGGAGGACGGCTGCTGTAGAGACGGGCGAGGTCAGACCTTAGACACATGACGAAGCATCAACAGATTCTCTGACCTGCAGCCTTTGGATGGGAGAGAAAGAGGCAAAGGTGTGGACCTGAGCCTCTGGAAGTATAAGGGGCCTCATGGGACATAGAGAGACCTGTCAACTGTGAGCTGTGCTTTTCCATCCAGGCACCATGTCCAGGGGGCTTTGGCCAAATGGGACTCCAATTTCAGGGGAAAGGTCTGGCAGAGATGTAAATGCAGAGCCACAGAAACTCTAATGACACTTCCCCACCTGTGGCTCCGGCTACTATCTGACCTTCTTTTCCTCCACTTCTATTTCTCCATTTCTCCCTCCAGATTCATTCCTATTTCTTCTCATTTTTGTCTACACCACACCCCCAAAATCCTCCTTAATATTAACCACCCCCTCCATGTTCCAGACACACCATAGGACTCCCCCTACCAAGAGTACGTCCCTCCTTAGGCGGCATGTTCGCGATGAAGGGTACAAGGTGGATGGGCCTTCCCAGCTCACACTCCACAAATGCGAACCGCAAATTTTCTCTTAAGAAATAAAAAAAAAAAGTAGAGAATTGTTTGAGTCCGAGAACAATCTGCTCCTCTGATTTATATTCCTGGCCCTGCCACCTGAGCCCAGGCCTGTTTTAGGACAGTTTCAACACAAAGGAATGTTCTTTCATGTCTCTGGTGTCTCCAGAAACCAGCTAGTGCAGCTGCAGTGAACGTGAACTGCAAAGTCCTGCACCTGCAGGTCGATGACCACGGGCCCCTGCTATCCATGCAGCTCACGACCCAGGGTCACCACACAAGCACCCCGCTATGTTCTTTTCAAACACAGCCTGAGGTCGGTTACCTCCTTGCTGTCTTTTTTTTTTTTTTTTTTTTTAAGGTTTATTTATTTATTTATACATACAAGCACTGGGTACAGTCAGAAGCGCGGGAGGGTGAGAGAATTCACCAGAGCCAGAGCGGGGAGCAGAGCAGGCAGAAGGACCAAAGCACACTGCTGAGGGGAGCAGCGGGCGGCAGGAGAGGTCTGCGTGCCATGTGGGACCCTCCTCCGGTGGCCGGCGAGCAGCCGGGGCTCGAACCGGGGCTGCAGAGGCTGCGGGCAGCTTCGCAACCCAGCGCTCCACCGCTGAGCCACTGGGGAGGCCCACCTCCTTGCTGTCTTGCCCACTGGTTCCATCTCCACTTTCTAGAGCAGGGTTCTCAAGTTCCCAATCTTGAGCCACTTAGCCCAGCTCAAAGGCATGAATCAGGGTAGTCACTTTGCCTGACCAAATATTTTTTATTGTGGCAAAACACACATAAAACATACCATTGAACCACTTTTTAGGTTATAATTCAGTGGCCGCAAGTACATTCACGCTATTTCAATCTGTTAACAAGATGCACTTCACAATCTTTTCAACGTCCTAGGAGAATACTCTGTACACATCCAACAATAAATTCCCTATCATTCTATCCCAGAACCCCAGATAGCCTCCATCCTACTACTTCTCTGTATGAATTTGCCTATTCTAATTCTTGCCTATAATTAGAACTGTATATCAGTCCTATTCTGTCTGGCTCATATTTTTTAAGCAAAATATTGTTAAGGTTTAGCTACATAGAAGGACATTACTCTTTAGGGCTGAGTAATATTCCATTATTTAAGCCACATATTAAGCCATTGAGTTTTTGGGGAAAAATGATAGAAGTAATAGACACTAATACACATGATCATGGCTTTGGAAAAAAAATTCAGGGTTAAGACTATGTTTTCCTTCTTTTTAAATACCTCGTTCATTGTGTGTAGGGAGCTCAGCACCTCCTGGTCATTCAAGCATCCAGGCCAGGGAACAGCCCCTTCCATAAGCATGTGATCTCAGGAAGAGGTTGCTTCACGCACAGAGTTTCTTGCCGTTCAAGGACATCCTACCAACACACCCATCACTGCCACTCACAAACCAATGGTCTCAGGACTCGCCTGGTCCATCACGTTAAAGAACTGAAAATGCAACATGTCCTGAAACCACAAAGTGTCCAGCAAGTATTTGGTGAATCATGACCCTTCCAGAGAGGCCTCAGGCACTAAACCTGCCACTTCATTTGGAACAGCCTCACATTACAGGCTCATTGTGGGGGTTCCAGGTGATGATACCCCCATGTGCTGAACCCTGGAGCCCCCCGAGGTGAGCACTGTCAGCGGGTCCTTGTGATAGTGCTTGAGAAAGCCCACTGGGTCACGCAGGATGAACAAGGAACTGCTTTGCTTTCCAGCAGGAGCAGCCGGCGAGGAAGAGCTGCAGGTGATCCAGCCTGACAAGTCCGTGTAGGTGGCAGGTGGAGAGACGGCCACTCTGCGCTGCTCCCTGACCTCCCTGCTCCCTGTGGGGTATACTAAGTGGTTCAGGGGGTCAGGTACAGGCCGGCAGTTAGTCTACAATTTCAAAGGAGCAACAGACGAAGGCCCCTTCCCCCGAATAACCAGTGTCTCAGATGCCACAATCAGAGACAACAAGGACTTTTCCATCCGCATCAGTAACATCACCCCAGCAGACACTGGGGCCTACTACTGTGTGAAGTTCCAGAGAGGGAGCCCTGACACAGAAGTGAAGTCGGGACCAGGCACGCAGGTCACCGTGAGTGGTGAGTACCGTGGGGCCCCCCGCCCGCGTGTGGCAGCAGGTCACTGTCACGCCCTCCTTTCTGTGAGCAACAGCTAAGAGTCAGGCGTGGTGGCGGGTGCTGATCTACATGGCTTGATTCACCCCCTTCTACAGACCGGGAAAGTCGAGGCTCAAGGCTGCATGGCTCAGAAATGGGGTGAGGTCTGGAACTTGACTTTCTGGTTCCACAGTTCAGGTGAATGAAGAAAACTTGCATTTTTTCCTACTAACAAGTATCTCCTGGGCTCCACTGTCCATGTGAAAAACTTTCTGAGATGTGCTGCTTCTGAATGGCATTTAAATGGGAACTGAGTTGGCTGCCAATAGGGGCTGGCATCCCCAGGTTCCTTCTGCCTGACCCCCAAGATGTCCCTGAGAAAATCTGTCCTTCCTTTTAAAGTGCTGCAGCTTTCCGGAAAGAGAAATCTTCATGACAACACCTCGGATCTCATTTGTGTGTTGGTGTCATTCCCCCAAACAGCTCTCTAGCGGGCCTGTGACAAGAAGAAGCAGAGAATCACCAGCAGTCATTTCTGCTGCTTTTCTTAATCAGGTCTTCAGAGCAGCAGCAGGACTTGCCACTTTCCTGGGTGTTTGCCCTGCTGCTACCCCCCCACCCCAAGATGGATGGTGACCGGGACGGGGACAGCAGCCACAGGAGCTGGTTGTCAGCACCTGCTGTGAACCCGCCCGTGCTGGGCACATCCTCACTCCTTTCCCCGGGTGGGGCTTTGACCCCTTTGCACAGAAACACACTCGGAGGCTCAAGGATGCAGAACAGAGACACAAGGGGGTCACTCATGAGGTCTGTCCTGGGTGGGGAGACTTGGGCTCTGCACCTCCCCAGTATGAGGGGGGCGCTTCTGCCTCTTTCTAGCCCTGACCACGGAGAGACGCCCACCTTGGCTCCCTCAATGCTCACGGATCCTTGTTTCCAACCCAAAACTGACCCCAAGTAGAAGGAGAACCTCAATTCACAGCCCTCTGACCCCTCCCTTCAAAATCAGAGCTGGGCACAGATGAACCTACTTGAGAAATGGTTTAAAGAATGGAAAGTTTGGAGTAAATCCCTCCCCGCTCGTGGGGAGAGCTGGGAGACCAGACTTGTGCTTATTATTCATCTGAGTTTATCTTCTGAAACTTGCCTCAGCGGCCTGCTTTCCTCATGCACCCCAGAGAGAGTCTGCCCCCCATTTCACAGATGAGGACGGGAGGTGCCTGGACCCTCTCCAGGGCTGGCAGGCTTATGCCAGCATCCACGGGGCCCCCATGTCCTGCATTCCTTCTGTGAAGCTTCTCTGACCTTGGAAGGGCTTCCGGGGTGACGGGCCAGGAACAGACACTGAGGTCATGTTGTTCCTGAGCCCAGACTCTGGAAATCCCCTGGAGAGAAAGAACGGGAACTCTGAACCCAGCCTGCAACCCTATCACCCTGCCCCGATCCTGGTTCACCTCTGGGAACCGGGTGTCCCTAAATGAGGGTGATGACACCCTCATTTAATAATCAGGTGAAGTTATAAACAGTGTCACCCGCTTATCCTTGGTGGGAGTCACAGTCACGCTTATTGTTACAAATGCTCCTCCGTAGCCAAACCCTCTCGCCCTGTGGTATCGGGACCCACAGAGAGGGCCACCCCTGGGCAGACGGTGACCTTCACCTGCCAGTCCCACAGCTTCTCCCCCAGAGACATCAGCCTGAAGTGGTTCAAAAATTGGAAAGAGCTGCCAGCCCCCCGGCCCAACGTGGACCCCCCAGGAGAGGCCGTTTCCTACAACGTCTCCAGCACAGCCACGGTGCAGCTGGCGCCGGGGGACGTCCGCTCCCAGGTCATCTGCGAGGTGGCCCACGTCAGCCTGCAGGGCGGCTGTCTTCGCGGGACAGCCAACTTGTCTGAGACCATCCGAGGTGTGAACCCCCCCAGCCCGACCCTGCCCGATACTCAGCCTGCTCCATCCCACTCACTCTAGGCGCAGATGTTCCGCAGTCCAGTTCCACTGTCCTTGGCCATCAGCAGCCCTGCGTGTGCGGGTCACTCCCCCAGTCTCCACAGCAATTGCATGGCAGCACCTCCCACATGCTCGGCAGTGAGGAGGCAGTTTCCCAAACTTTACCCACAGCCACCCCAACACCGGGCGCCCCCTACAGCCCTGCCTGAGCTGCTTGGGGTTGGCATTGATTTGCCACAATGTTTATGAACCCACTGCTGCCTGTAGGGGTGGGGCCTGTTGATTTCCCTCCTATTGCCCTCCAGTCCTTGAGCACCTACTGTGTGCTGGGCACAGTGCTTAGTGATCACACACACATGCAGAGAGAACCTCAGTGTTGGAGGCTGCCTACCTGCCAAGCATGTCCTGGGTGTCGCCCTGCTAAGGTGGGGGCAAGCGATGGGGCCCCTCCCCTGGGATCTGTGCTATAAGGTCAGAGCTTCTGCCCTGTGCTGTTACAGTCCCGCCCACCTTGGAGGTTTCCCAGTATCCCGCGGCAGGGAACCAGGTGAATGTCACCTGCCAGGTGAAGGAGTTCTACCCCCGGAACCTACAGCTGACCTGGTTGGAGAACGGAAACATGTCCCGAACAGAAAAGCCCTCGACTCTCCTGGAGAACAAGGATGGGACCTTCACCTACAGGAGTTGGCTCCTGGTGAACGCTTCTGCCCACAGGGGGAATGTGGTGCTCACCTGCCAGGTGGAGCATGACGGGCAGCCTTTGGTCTCCCAACCCTACACCCTGGCGGCCTCAGCTCACCAGGGCAAGCCGGACACAGAGGTATCTCCAGGTAAGGCCTCAGCTCCAATGACCCAACCTTTTATATTTTATCTTATTTTTTTAATGTTGCAGGTTACAATTCATGTTTTATTGATAATCTAGAATGTATAGCTATGAACAGAATTTAAAGGAGCTGCCTCATCACATTTTTCCACCCTGAGTGTCCAGTGGTCAAGTGTTTAGAATGAAGCATTGCAGGTCATGGACATAAGCATTAAAGAAAGAAAATTGGGGCAGGAGTTGATGCTCCCATTCTGGTCCTGCTCTTACCATCTGCCTTAATCCCAGGAAGGATGCAGGTTTAAAGCTCGGACGATTGATGGACCAGGGAAGCCCAGTGGGTAGTGGAGGCCCAGGGAAGGATTCCAGTGTGGCCCCTAATGGCGCCTCCTGTCCCTTGACTTCCAGGCAAAGAGCAGTGGATGCCTCTTCTTCATCACTCTCCTCCTGGGCTCCAAGGTGTTGCTACTGGTGGGTGTCTCTGCCTCCTACATGCACAGGAAGCAGAGGCCTAACTGCAAGTACTGGGCAGAGAGGCCAGGCCAAGGTCTGTCCTGGGAGGGGCAAGTTCAGCAGGTCACACATGGTCAGGGCCCCCCGGAAATAAGAGAAGCTGACACACCTCCCTCAACACCCTCAGGAGGCTTAGGTCCCTCTAAACATCCCAGAATTCAGAAAGTGTTCGGGGAACTGCAGAGGGTATTCAAGAGTGACTGGGGAGGCCTGGGTGGTGTGGAAGAAACAGGCAAGGGTCTGAATGGAGGGCCTGAGTTGGGGCTCCCTTGGAGACCATCTCTAGATCATTTGAACATGGGACCTCCGTGGGTGGAAAGGAATTCACAGTGAAAGGAGTGTTGAGGAGTCCCAGGTTTGCTGCTCTGAGGTGTTTCTGAGGCTCTGTGTGAGGCACAGAAGGGCTGAGGTGTCAGCGCAAGGGCGATAGAGAAGGCTGGGGTGCAGAGGCCTATCTCGGGGACTGCCCAAGAGAGCAGCACCAGAGCCATGAGAGACAACAGGGAGTGGGTCCTGAGTACGAGCAGGTATTCAATGTGGACATGTCTCCTGCATCTTCCTCCCTCATCCCTGCTGCCTGCACCTCCAGCTCTGCAGCCTCCTCCCTTTCTGAAGGGCCCGCCTAGAGGAGGAGGGACAAGAGCCTCCACAGACTCTGCTCCCCAGGCCTCTCCCCCAGAGACCTGCTGCCCCCACCCCCACTCTTTCTTCTCACAGGCTGACCCCAGAGCTGGCTTCATCCAGGATCCTCTCAGGAATGCACACCCGCAGAATTCCCAGTCAGCAGCTTTCGGTTCTCATCACATGGCCAAAATGCAGTGGGATGGGAACAAGGGGCTGCTGGGAGTAAGAACCAGAAAGGGACGATGCCAGTCACTGCATCAGAGCTGGTTCCACCATCATCGGCCACAAGCCAGGGAAGAAAACAGAAACTAGGGCAGGTCGTACAATTTGCTCTGATGAGAAAACCACAGTGCAATTGGCTTTGACTCAATAACAAGCATGCCTTTATCTCATCCCGTGTAGCCCTTTAAGGACATTGTACAACTGAGGTGTGATAATTTAAGTAAGTTGAGAATTCCTGAAGTGACATTTCAACTAGGAGCGGGTTCAAGAGGGGCCCTCTGTGTGGCTGATCCACCCGTGACTGAGGACGCATCCAAGGCATTCGTAAAAAGAAGCCATCTGGCTAAAGGTGAATATTCAGAGAAAAGAAAGACTCCATGTAACATCCTCACTCACACGACAGTGGACTCTCACACGAAGTGAGCCCCACGTTAGCAGAGGGAGGGGCTGACAGGCATCAAGCCGAAATACTGAAATGGGGATTCTAGAGACATTTTTAAAAATCAATGAAAAGTTTTATTTTTAAAAGATAAATATAATTAATAAAAACCATTAACTAGACTCACCAAGAAATAGGGAGAGGACTCAAGTAACTACCATATAAATGGAAGAGGAGAAATTACAACAGGAACCACAGAAACACAGAGGCACATGGAGACTGCTATCAGCTACACATGCCACAGACTGGACAACCAAGATGAAAGAGATATATTCCTGCAAGCACACAGCCTATCTTGACTGAACTCTCAAGAAGTTTTCATACATGTGTACTGAGATCACAGGTTGAATACGCATTATTCTGTTCTGAAATATGGAAGGATTTCTCTATAATTACTCATGGAGTTTCTGGTCTATCTTTGCAAAATACTAATATTGTGTTCTTTTGACCCTTTCAAGAAACACTACCATGAATTTGGTGTTTCATACCCTCAGATATGATTGTGCTTTTATAACATAGATACACATACTTAAGCAATATTTTATTTCACGTTGCATATTCTAAATATTTTATAAATGTGATTATCCAGTTTATAGCACTCGGGAAGTTCTCCTATAGTTTATTGCTTAACACAGTTTGTGGGATTTATTCATCTTGATATATGTAGCTCCATTGATTGATTTTTCCACTATTCTATAGTCTTCTATTGAAGACTATGCCACACTTTATTAATTCTTCTCATTCTGGATATTGAAGCTTTACCTGGTGCTTTGAAGTACAACTTCCCACTAAGACTCTTATCTTGGTGACCTCCCCCATCCGGGACAGCACGCCTAGCCCTTCTAGCGTGGCCTGCAAAGCTGCATGTTGTGTCATTTGGGGACCTGGTTGTGCAGAAGAGTTTTCCCTTTCTGATCAAATGTTGCTTTTTTAATTCATGCTTTTGATAGTTACACTGATGTGCTGTGTGCGTGTGTCTGTATAAGTAATAGTCATGTTATAATTTATTACAAAGCACTCACTGAACTTCACAGCCCCCTTTACTTTCTATCAAGTATCCATATACTTGTGTGGTTCTTTTTATGAGATCTTTTTCCATTGAGCTTCTCATCTCTTAGTCAAAGCTACATGGACAAGAATAAGTCCATGTAATAAGTTTTGACACCATTTTGAGCAAAGTTTCACACTTTTTCTTATTTAAAACATCCTGGGGCCTCCCTGGTGGTGCAGCGGTTGAGCGCTGGCACGCAGACCTCTCCTGCCACACCTGCTGCTCCCCTCACCAATGTACTTCATCAGTTTGCCAGTTCTGCTCCTCAGTCTGGCTCTGGTAAATTCTCTTGCCCTCCTGTGCTTCTGACTGTAGCCAGTGCTTGTATAAATAAACAAATGAATAAATAAACAAATAATAAATAAATAAAATGTCATGACTGTTTAGGTGCAAGTGATCTTAGAATCATGTGTTCTATTTTCCCATTCATGGTATGCATCTGTTTTAGTTTTGCTTTTATGACTTTCTAGTCATAATTTTAGAGTTTTCCCATAATGGTTTGATGAGTCTCTAGTTAGAGCTATCTTTAGCAACTTCCAGTCTGTGGACAAGAAAAGTATTATTACTGTTTACAATGACTCTTGACTATGATATAGGATTGTAATTGTGTGCAGAGCATCGATCTTATATTCAGCAAGAGCACAGGACACCTGCTAGTACTATTAGTATGTTTTCTTTGGGGGTAACTTTGTAACATTAACCTAATGATCAAAAATCAATTTTTACCAACATCGAGGGTTGGTTGAAATAGATGTGGGGGAGAGACCCGTGGAGGATAACAATGGCAAATTTTATACTGGTTTTGATTTGCTCTTTTCCTCCCAGGCTTGTCTGGTTTTTTCTGATCCTTTACTGTGGGTCCCCACTGGAAGGTGTTTTGGACTTGTGGCAGGCTTTTGGGCGTTGCTCTGGGCCAATCCCATTTGGGTGGATTTTTACCCATGAGGGGATGAGTAATTTTGGGTGCTTGATTTAGAAACTATATTCTTTGCCTTTCCTGTATAGTTTACTAATTGTCTTAAAGTTCCTTCCCATTAAAGTCTTACATGTTTTATGTTGCTATGGTGGATGGCAGAACCTATTTGGAGCAGGCAGGAGTGGGGGCTCTGGGGTCCCCACTCCTGGCCAGGTAACAAAGAGACTGAAGGGTAATTCTACTCCTGCAAGGAAATCCTCACCTAAGCTTCAGTGAGATACAAACACTTGAAACTCATGAACTTTAGCTGGTCTGCCTTGGCCAGTCCAGTCTCTCCCAGGACAGCTCATGCTGGTCCCCTGTAGTGATGACATCTCCGTGTTCTGATGCTCAGTTACAGATGACTGCAGGCAAATGTCTTCTTAAACACCTTTCCTAGTTCTCACCATAGTAATCCTCAGCAGTCTCTTGGACTGTGCTTGGATTGTTACTTTGGTGGAGGGTCAAGAATGGCCACCAGCCAGTCACCCTAGAGCCTTGGGCATGGGCCTGTGAGACACACCTTGTATCCCTATGGGATTCTCTTTTCCTGGGGCTACTGAATGGAGAATCACTGTGACCCTAAGAGGGAGTGGCAAGCAAGTGGAGAGAGCCCAGGCCACCCTGACAGAAGAAGCACTACTTCTATGAGGCTGCACAAGTCTCTGAAACCATGAGAAGCTCCTGACCTTAAGCTTCCCTCCATCCCAGCTTCACAGTGGAAGTGTGTCAACACCTCGTCATTTCACTACTGGTATGAGCTTCCTCTTGTATCACACAAGGGCCTCCTCTCCACAGAGCAGAGTCTGGGCTCCCAGCACACACCCGGACAAGCAGGCTCCTCCAGTTCCAGGATGCCTGCCACTGCCTCCTGGACCCACCAGTCTCCTTGCCTGCTGCTGGCTTTACTGCTGGGACTCACAGGTGAGCATGGCCATGGGAAGATCCCCCCTGCCTGCCCTGGATGTCTCTTTAGCCAAGGAGTTGTAGGGCATTCAGATAAACAAAGATAAGCACCCCCGCTGCTATCCCCCGGGCTACCACAGAGAGCCAAGAACTAGACATTATTTGAGGGCACGGAACAGGGGGTCAGAGCAACTTTTCTGTGGCTCTGTCACCTGCAACTGTTTTCAGGGACATCAAAACAGTTGATGGTTTGACGAGTGTGTTAACTTGGTTGATCCTCACAACATAACTGTTTATAACAATGATTATTGTCCCTGCTTTGCAGAAGGGGAAACCGAGGCAGAGAGCATAATTTGCCCAGTGCCATCTACCCAAGTCTGTGGAGAAGCCAGAATTCAAGTCTAGGGCCAAGAACTCCAGGATTCATTCTTTTTACCATGTTATGCTGTTGGCTACTCAGTGGAGGCTCTTGCAGAAAAGTTAGACATACGGAGAAACTAGCAGAATAGAGATAGGACAGACATCTAGGACACAGAAACAGGAGGTAGGACAGGGTTGAAATTCTGCTGTGTGCTCCCAAACTTTTGTTAATGATGTGTTACTATGTACCAATATTTTTATGAGCATTTAACATACACAATCCTCAAAACATACTCCTTGTATACTAGCAAGCCAGGACAGCTCTTCACATGTATTTCCAAATGCATGTTGTGGTGGATGTGCATGTATGTACAGGTGTGAGAAGTGTGCAGACACACACACTCGTGGGATTTTTGAAACGGTTTTTTTCCATTGTTCTCCCCAATCATTTCTCAGTCTGCATGAAGTGCACATTGACAAAAGTTTAGTTCTCAGAGTCTCTCTACTCTCTTCCTTCCCCTTCTACTTCTCCAAAATTCCCCTTGTCCTTCTCGAAACTATTAGACAAAAAATTCTTCTCCCTTGGCAAGAGAGTAAAGTGTGTGCATGATTTTCTTGGAGTCCTGCTCTCGTGCTGCAGGGGGGTGAGGAGGAAAGAAGGGGATGGAAACACAGAGCCTCACCTAGACCGTCTCCATCTGTCCTTGCGCCCACATCTGGGTTTGCACCTCTCCCCATGCGCTGTCATCCAGCGTCCGTTCAGGCCTCAGGAAATCTGGGAGTGGAATTCTGTGCATTCCTCCTTGGAGGCCTCCTCCAGGCTGGATGGGCTGAGGAGACAAGAAGGGGGAGGTGCAGGTTCCCGAAGGATACAGAGAAATGATCCCCATGTGTGATTGTAGCTGCACTCCTATCTCTGTCATCTATGTCCCCAGAAGCCTCTCAGCCTCAGGAAATCCGATGAGTAAAATCATTTCAATTTCTTGAACCCTCACCATGTACCAGACACAGCGGGAAAGGCCTGGAGGTGTCATCTCCTGTGACCATTATCTCTGAGGGAGCTAACTTATCCCCCTCCTTACAGGTGGAATAATGGAAGCACAGAGAGGTTCAAGGTCACTCACCCTCACTGGTAGAGCTGCGATCTGAACTCACACGGTCTGACTGCAGAGTTCCCGGGTTAACCACCACCCTTCTCGGTTCTGTGTTACCCGTCTCCTCCCCAGGAACTTTCTGCAGCTTCTGTTTGCGGGTGGGGGAAGGGAGAGTGAGGGAAAGAGGGTTTGTGACTTTCTTCTCTGGGTTCTTCCTCTTCCTGGAAGCTGTTTGCATATTAGACCAAGTCATCTCCAGGGGAAACTCTCGGGATTTCCGCTCAAAATAGACACTGGGGTCTCCGGGAGGTGCAAAAGTCTCCTCTGTGTCAGGCGCTGTTACGGGCAGGAGAAGTGAGTTTCTAAAGGAAAGAGACAAGGTCATTGCCCTCTTGGAGTTATGTCTCAGTGGGAGAAATGGCAGCAGACAATAGACACGCTAAGTCCAAGACACGGTGTGTTAGGGTCGGACCCGTGTGAAGGGCAAAGAGTGAAAGTATCCCAGGTAGGAGAACTGCCAGTATCTGGAGCAGGATGGATTTTTTTAAAGGACAGTGTGGGTGGCATCTCTGAGAGAGAAACTTGAGCAAAGGTTAAAAGGAGGTGTGGGATGAGATAGGTAGATTCTAGGTTAGAGCCCTCCTGACAGGGAGCAGCACCGGCAGAGGCCCCGCGTGGAGGCTTTTCTGTTCTGTTCAAGGATGTGGGCTCCCGTGAGTGTTGCCACTGCAAAGTCAAAGAAAGAAGTGATGATCTGACATTAGCTTTAGTCATTCTAGCACTTGGACAGAGAGGCAAGTAGAAAAAACATATAAGAGGAGATTCCTTGGAGAAACAAGGAACACTGGTGCACGAGGACGGCTGCTATAGAGACTGGCGAGGTCAGACCTCAGACACATGATGAAGCAGCAACAGATTCTCTGACCTGCAGGATTTGGATGGGAGAGAAAGAGGCAAATATTTGGGTCTGAGCCTCTGGAAGAATAAGGGGCCTCAGGATACAGAGAGAGAACTGTTAACTGTGAGCTGTGCTTTTCCATCCAAGCACCATGTCCAGGGGGCTTTGGCCGTACAAGTCCAGCTTTCAGGGAGAAGGTCTGGCAGAGAGGTAAATGCAGGAGACACAGAGACAGGGATGACACTTCCCCATGACGCGGCTACCGCTGACTGTCTGGTCTTCTTTCCCTCCTCCATTTCTCCTCCAGAGTCATATTTCTTGCCATTTTTGTCTACACCACAACCCAAAATCCTCCTTGAAATTAACCACTCCCTCTGTGATCGAGACACACCAAGTTCCCGCCCTCTACAGCCTGTGCCTCCTTAGGGCATGTTTGTGACAAAGGGTGGGAGGTGGGTGGGTCTTCCCAGATCACACTCTGCCAAGGTGAACCGCAAATTGTGTCCTAAGAAATAAAAAAAGTCAGAGGATTTGTTTGAGTCCACCAACAATCTGCTCCCCTGATTTATAGCCCTACCACCTGGGCTCATGCCTGTTTTAGGACACTTTGAACAAGAAGGAATGTTCTGGCATTTCTCTGTTATCTCCAGAAACCAGGTAGTGCAGCTGCAATGAAAGTGAACAGCAAAGTCCTGCACCTGCAGGGCCACTCCTGTCCCTGCAGCTCATGACCCAGGGCCCCAACACGGGCACCCCCACAGTTCTTTTCATACATAGGCTGAGGTCGCTCCCTCCTTGCTGTCTTGCCCACTGGTTCCATCTCTACCTTCTAGAGCAGGGTTCTCAAGTCCCTCAGCCTTGAGCCACTTAGCCCAGCTCAAAGGCATGACTCAGGGTAGTCACCGTGCCTGACCACATATTTTAGATTGTGGCAAAACACACATCACATAAAACTCACAACTGAACCTTTTTTAGTATGTGATTCAGCGGCATCAAGTACATTCACATTATTTCAAACTGTCACCAGGATGCATGTCAGAATCTTTTCAATATCCTGGGAGAAGTCTCTGTACCCACAACAATAAATTCGCTATTAATCTTCCCCAGCAGCCCAAGGTTACCCTTATGCTCTTACTTGTCTCTAGGAATTTGCTAATTCTAACTACTTCATGTAATTAGAACTGTATATCAATCCTTTTTTTCTGGTTCATTTTATTTAGTAAAATGTCAAATTTTAGCTATGTGAAAGGACATAAATGATCTTATTCCCTCTTGAGGGCAGAGTAATATTCCATCATTTATGCCACATTCTGTTTATGCCTTCATCTGTTAATGGAAATTCATTATTTTAAGCCATTGACTCTTAGAAAAACATTACAGTGGTAATAGACACAAATATACCATGATCGTGGAATTGGAAAACAGCCCAGGCTTGAGACTATGTTTTCCTTTTATTAAATACCTTGTTCACTGCTTATAGGGAGCTCAGCACCTCATGCTCATGCAAGCACCCTGGGAACACCCCTGTCATGAGCACATGATCTATGGAAGAGGTTGCTGGACCCACAGAGGTTCTTGCTGTTGAATACCATTCTACAACACACCCACCACTTCCACCCCCAACCAATGGTCTCAAGACTCTCGTGTCCATGAATGTAAAGGACTGAAAATGCAACATCTCCTGAGACCGCAAAGTGTCCAGCCAGTATTTGGTGTAGCATGACCCTTCCAGAGATGGCTCAGGCACCAAACCTGCCGCCTCAACCTCCCTTTGCCTCAGTGTCCTCATTAGGAACACCCTCACAATACAGGTTGGTTGTGGGGGTTACAGGTGTTGACACTCCCATGTGCTGAGCCCAGGAGCCCCCGAGGTGAGCACTTGTCAGTCGGTCCTGGTGATAACACTGAGAAAGCCGGCAGGGTCACGCAGGATGAACAAGGAAATGCTTTGCTTTCCTGCAGGAGCGGCCGCCGAGGAGGAGCTGCAGGTGATCCAGCCTGACAAGTCCGTGTCGGTGGCAGCTGGAGAGACGGCCACTCTGCGCTGCTCCCTGACCTCCCTGCTCCCTGTGGGGACAGTCAGGTGGTTCAGGGGGTCGGGTCCAGGCCGGCAGTTAGCCTACAGTTTCAGAGGAGCAGCAAAAGACGAAGGCCCCTTCCCCCGAGTAACCAATGCCTCAGATGCCACAATCAGAGACAACAAGGACTTTTCCATCCGCATCAGTAACATCACCCCAGCAGACACTGGGGTCTACTACTGTGTGAGGTTCCAGAAAGGGAGCCCTGACACAGAAGTGAAGTCGGGACCAGGCACGCAGGTCACCGTGAGTGGTGAGTACCGTGGGGCCCGCGTGTGGCAGCAGGTCACTGTCACGCCCTCCTTTCTGTGAGCAACAGCTAAGAGTCAGGCGTGGATGTGGGTGCTGATCTACATGGCTTGATTCACCCCCTTCTACAGACCGCGGAAGTCGAGTCTGCACAAGTCATGCTTGGTGCTCAAGGTCATGTGGCTGGGAAATGGGAATGCGGTCTGGAACCCCAGACTACCTGGCTGCACAGTTCAGGTGTCTGAAGAAAAGTTGCATTTTTTTTTCCCCTAATGAAAGTGTTTCCTTGTGCTCCTCTGTCCATGTGAGCAACATTTTGGGGTGTGCTGCTTCTGAACAGCATGGGCTCATGGAGGCCCTGGTCGCCCCACAGAGCTCACCTCACTGGGGTTGGATTCCCACCCTCTGGGCCCGAGGAAGATGCAAGACACCCAGTTTAGGACTCAGCTTCATTCCTGGGAAAACCTCCCACCTCTAAATATTTAAACGGGAGCTGAGGTGGCTGCCAAAAGGACTTGAGATCCCCACATGTCTTATGCCTGAACCCCAAGATGTCTCTGAGAAAGTCTGTCCTCCTTCCTTTCAAAATGCCGCAGCTTCCCATAAAGAGAAACCTTCATGACAACTCCTCGGATCTCATTTATGTGTTGGTGTCATTCCCCCCAATGGCTTCCTAGCGGGCCTGTAACAAGAGGCAGAGAACCACCATCAGTGGTGTCTGCTGCTTTCCTCAATGGGGTTCTTCAGAGCAGCTGAGGACTTGGACATTCATGGTTGTGTCCCCTACTGCTTCCCTCCACCCCAGACAGTCTCAGGTGGGTGGTGACCAGGACGGGGACAGCAGCCACAGGAGCTGGATGTCAGCACCTGCTGTGAACCTGCCTGGGTGGACACATCCTCACTCCTCCGCCCGGGTGGGGCTTTGATCACTTTGCACAAAAACACACATGGAGGCTCAAGGATGCAGAACAGAGACCAAAGTGGTCACTCACATGCCGGTTCTGCCTGTGGTCCCCTGGGCTCTGCCCCTCCCCAGGATGAGAGAGTTGCTTCTGACACTTTCCAGGCCTGTGTCTGTCTCTTATTTAATGACACTGAGAGACGCCCGCCTTGGCTTCCTCAGGCTCAGGGATCCTTCTTTCCAGCCAAACCTGACCCTGAGGCCAAGGAGAAACCCTATTCACCATCATCTGTACCCTCCCTTTTAATCAGAGCTGGGCACAGATGAGACCTACTCGGAAATTATTTAAAGAATGAAATGTTTGAATTAAATCCCTCACCGCCCACGGGGAGAGCTGGGAGACCAGGCCTGGGCTCATCACTGATCTGTGTTTATCTTATGAAACTTGCCTCCGCGGCCTGCTTCCCTCAAGCATCCCAGGAGCAAGAGCATGCGTCCAGTTTCACAGATGCGTGAGGGAGGTGCCCAGCCCCCTCTCCTGGACTGGCAGCCTGGTTCCAGCCTCCACAGGTCCCCTGTCCTGCTGCGTTCCTCCTGTGTTGCTTCTCTGACCTTGAAAATACTCCCAGGGAGGCAGGTCAGGAACAGCTATAGAGACCAAGGTCATGTTGTTCCTGAGCCCAGACTGATGGGAAATGCCCCAGAGCTAGAGAGGGGGACTCTGAACTCAGGCCTGCAACCCTGTCAACATTCCCTGGTCCTGGTTCACCTCTGGGAACCTGGGTGTCCCTAAATGAGGGTGATGACATCCTCATTTAATAATCAGGTGAAGTTATAGACAGTGTCACCCGCTTATCCTTGGGGAGTCAGTCACGTTTATTGTTATAAATGTTCCTCCTTAGCCAAACCCTCTCGCCCTGTGGTATCGGGACCCACAGAGAGGGCCACCCCTGGGCAGACGGTGACCTTCACCTGCCAGTCCCACAGCTTCTCCCCCAGAGACATCAGCCTGAAGTGGTTCAAAAATAGGAAAGAGCTGCCAGCCCCCCGGCCCAACGTGGACC